ACAGCCCACAGAGTCCCCAAGCGCGCTCACAAAGGCCCCAGCCTGCAGAGGCCCCGAGCGCGCCCACAGAGACCCGCGCGCTGCCCACTGAACCCTTCCGACACAGCCCACAGAGGCCTCAAGCGCGCCCACAGAGGCCTCAGCCAACAGAGGTCCCAAGCGCTCCCGCAGAGGCCCCAGCGCGCTGCCCACTGAGGCTCCCCAGCGCAGCCCACAGAGGCCCCAAGCGCGCCCACAGAGGCGCCAGCCCGCAGAGGTCCCAGGAACGGCGCTCTCGCATGAGACTTCTTCGCAAGTCAATCAAGTTCGTGGATGCCCAGCCGCGACGACAAGGCTCCCGCCCAGCACTTCCTCGCGATTTCCTCCGGGAGGCCCTGGCCACAGAGGTTCCCGAATTCAGGAACAGCGCTCTCGCTGAAGACTTCCTGGCAACTCAGTCAAATGAGTGGGGGCGCAGCCGCGATGACAAGTGCTCCCGCTCGATGTTGCCTCGCGATTTGCTCCGAGAGGCCCTTTCTCGTGGTCCATCCTTCTCTTCCCCCATCTGTCCCCCCTTACCCTCTTAACAAGTTCAGAATGTAACACACTCGCGCGCGCGAGGCGGCCCCTGGGGGCCCCGACGCGACGAGTACCCCGCCAAAGTCCGGGCAAGTGCCCGCCAGAGATGCCAGAGGACCCCCAGACGGCCCAAGAGGCGCCCAAGACGGCTCCAAGGGAGCGCGCAGACGGGCCAAGACCCCTTGGAGTCCTCGAAAGATCGGCCGACGATGCCACAAGATCGCTCCAAGACGCCCACCATGGCCTCCAGGCGCCCCCAAAGGCCTCCAGAAGCCTTCCCAAGAAGGCCCCAAAGGGAAACATTTATTGATTTCTTCCGGTTTTGGACACATGTTCGGGTCCCTCCTTTCTCGGCTTCCCGACGCTCCAAGATGTCCTAAGAGGCTCTTAAGATCGCCCCAAGAGGATCCCAAGACAGCCCCAAGACGGCCCAAGATGGCCGCAACACAGCCCACGAGGCGCCCAAGACGGCCCAAGAGAGCCCCAACACGGCCCCTAGAGGGGTCCAAGAAGGTGACAAGGAACCGAAAAGTCCAGCCTTCAGTCCCAAGAGGCCCCTAGGAGGCCCCAAGAGGCCCCCAAGAGGCCCCACGGGGCCCCCAAGAGGCACCCCAAGAAGCCCCACGAGGCCCCCCAAAGCCCCCATGAGGCCCCAACACGGCCCCCAAGAGGCATCAGAACTGCCTCCCAAAAGGCCCTTGAGAGGCCAACCACGAGAGCCCAACCAACATCCGTGAGGCCTCTGACCCGCCACCCACCGCCTCCGAAAAATTGCAGCCGCCTAACCGCACCGCGTCGACATCAACTCCCCGACAACGACAGCGGCCAGGCAATATGGGCCGGCGGAATGAGCGAAGCGACTAAATTATTGCTGATCTCCGGAAACGGTTCCGCGCGCTCTCGCCTCGACGCCGGCTACAGTTTCTCAGAAACGAGGCTCCCCCTCGACGCCCGTTGTGGCCCCATGTGCATGCCCTTCGTGGCCCCGCTGTCGCCGTTTGTGGCCCCCATCGCTGTCCTACGTGGCTCAGTTGCTACCCTCAGAGGCCCCATCGTTGCCTTCTGCGGCCCCGCATTATCTGCCCTTCTTGGCCCCCGCTCGTTCGCGTTCTTCGTGGCCCCATACGCATTCCCTTCGTGTCCCCGCTGTCGCCCTTCGTGACCTACTTCGTGTCCTTGTGGCCCTGCTGTCGTTCTCTCTCGCTCTCGCTTTCGCTCGTCGTCGCCGCCGTCGTCGTCGTCGTCGTCGTCGTCGACGTCGTCGTCGCAGTCATCGTCGTGGTCGGTCCCTTGTCCGTCCCTCCTGGGGTCGGGTCGACGGTCCGCGGCCGCCCCGCCGATCAGCGCTGCCGCTGGCCAGGCCGACGGTCCGCGGCCGCCCCGCCGCTTGCCAGGGCCCGGCCTGCAGGGAAAAAAGGTATACCACCCAAAAGGGGTTCGATCGAAGATGAAGAGGGCGGGTATCGATGGTTTGGGAAATACGCGTTATTGGACACTCGAGCAGATAAGGGCGAACAGTCTGAAAATGATGGCTATTGTTGTTGTTGGTGGTGGTGTTGTTGGTGTCTGTTGTCGTCGTCCCACCCGCGACCCACTTCTGACCCACCCCGCGACCCACCCCGCGACCCACCCCGCGACCCACCCGCGACTCACCCCGCGACCCACCCGCGACCCACCCCGCGACCCACCCGGCGACCCACCCGCGACACACCCGCGACCCACCCGCGACCCACCACGCGACCCACCCGCGACCCACCCCGCGACCCACCCCGCGACCCATCCCGCGACCCACCCCGCGACCCACCCCGCGACTCGCCCCGCGACCCACCCCGCGGCCCACCCCGCGACCCACAATCAAGGGAGGAGAAACAACCCGGACCTGACAACTGACGTTTACTAAACGGCCCCGGACGTTTTTTAACAGCCCTGTCTTGTTCGATTCACTCTTTGTGTGCGTTTACTAAACGGCTGCGCTTGTCGGGGTGGATATTATGAGGTGAATTTTGCCCTCTACAACCGCGACCCACCCGCGACCCAACAGCGACCCACGCGCGACCCACCCGCGACCTACCCTCATTGGCTTCACGAAAAAATCTGCGCATGCGGCGGGTTCGTTTCATAATTTGTGGAACTTTGGCGCCTGCGGCGCGCTTCTCCAGAGTCTCGCGAACTGCCGACGTCCCCACCGCCCTCTCACTCTCATCCGCATCTGCGGGGTGCTACGGTAGATGCGCATGAATATCTCGAATTCTCCGTTGCACCACCAGACGTTTGGTCAGGGCGGGCTAGGCGTTTCGCCTGAGACTCCCCCGCCGCCCGCATATTTGAATCTCGACATGTCCAACAGCTGCAGAGGTAGAGGGGGGGTCCATTGTCAAATAGGGGTAGCGCCTTGGCGCCGCTCACACTCGTAGTTGAACGCAGCTGTCGGTCACACTGATGGAAGGAGCACGGATATAGAGAGCACCGTTTTCCAAACATGCGCTTCAGTTTTGGTGCCACGCACGTTCGTCGTCGACGTCGAACACGCCCTTTTCCGATGGTCGTCGCCCTTGCTGTCCGTCAGGAACTACGACCAGTTCGGCTCTCATCCTGAGTAGTTTTTGAAGGTTCCGGGCCCAGCACGGGCCACCAGAGGTTGCAAACGGCAGAAAAGCACCTCCTGTCGTGATTCTTGTTGCTGTCGTCGTCGCCGTCGACGCCGTCCTCGCCCGCGCCGTCGTCGCATCCGTCGTCATCCTGCACGTCGTCCTTGTCGCCGTCGTTGTCATCGTCCTCTCCGTCTTCCTCCCTGCGTTGTCTTGGACGCCGCCGCTGTCGCCGCTGTCCTCGCTGTCGTCGTCGCGCGCCGTCGTCGTCGGTGTCTTTCCTGGAGATCCGACGTAAAGATTTGTTCCAGATCTGGGCCCCGAGACATCCCCGACTTTTCCTTGGGCCAAGTTTTCCGTCCTGAGTCTTATTCCTGACGGTCAATGGGCATGGGCACAGGCCCAAAGAATGCGAACAAAAATCCGACCTGAGTGTTTTACTACGTTGGACCATGGAGGTCTGGGCCTTCGTCCTGCTCGCCGTCCGCCGCGAACTACGAACCTGGCGGCAGCCCAAAGACTCGGGGGTGGACAGACCTCCTACCCTGACGCGTCGATTAAGGAATTGGCCGTTTTCGGTTCGCGAAGGGGCGTCGCGGCCGTCATGTTTGCGAGTCCAGGTCCGTCGGTTTCGGTCTTAGGCCGTTTTCACGAAAGGGAGGTGTACAGTCGGTGCCCTGAAGAAGGAACCCTTTTGGTTGGGGAGGGGCTCCGCGTTCCTTAAGTGTTTCACAGCTTGTCTCAGGTTTTCCTTATGTTCTCGATGGGAAATCGAAGTTTAACTTATGGAGAAAAGGGCCTCGTTCCTTCTTTAGGGTTCCTTCGGTCAACGCCCCGACTGTATTACAGGGAGGCTTGTCCACCGCCGAAAGTCCATCACCGTTCTCCCTCCCGTGGTCTAGACGCACCAGTCATCCGAGCTGCATCCGGCCGTGGCGACGGCGGGCCCTCCCGAAAGCCAGCTGCCGTTTTCGCCAGTCGCCCTCCTCCGATCGCCACCGCCGTCCCCGCCGTCCACCAGGAACTGCGACAGGTTCTGCGTTCCTCCCGAGCAGTTTCTCTTGACGGCACCGGCCTCGTCCTCGCCCTCGCCATCCGTGCTGCAGACAAGACGCTGAAATAGGGAACAGTTTGGGTTCGGAAGGGGCTCGGTGTTCCTTAGGTTCCTCCAGTGTTGTTCCTCTTGCCCTCCTGGGGCACGGATGCGCTTACAGGGCTCAGAAAGGGCTTCGTTCCTTATTTAGCGTTCCTTCTTTCAGCGGCCCGACTGTACCCTCCGCCCGTTTTCCTTTTTTGGGGGCCTCCTCGGAGACCCTCGTCGCCACCGTTGGATTCTCCTCGAAATTCTGGCCAGAATGCACCCCAGGACAGGTCCCAGGAGCAGCGGTATCGGTACCTTTTGGTCTCCCCAGAAAAGCGCTCCTTGGGCTGCCTTTCGGTCCGAAGAGGCGGCCATTGGGACGCCCTGGAAGGACGCGAACTTCCCACGGGCAAGCAAGGTTGAGCGTCGCCAGATGTTCCGTGGACCAGATCTGGTGACCGATCGCCGTCGTCCCCATCGCCGTCCGCCAGGAACTACGACAGGTTCGGCGTTCATCCTACGGTGCTGTTTTTAATACATGCTCCGCGTGCGGATCATGTATCAAAAATGCAGGGAGTTAGTATTAAAAACAACGATGATTCCATGCATATATTTGTTCATAAATTAAACATGTACCAGAAATCCTATATTTCTGAAAATCATATGTATTACAAACTGCCCTGTACGCAGTTTCTGTTGACGGCACCGTCCTCGTCCTTGCCCTCGACATCCGTGCCAACCCGATACCCGTCGTCCTCATCGCCGTCCGCCAGGAACTACGACCAGTTCGGCGCGGAGGGCGGCCCCGGCGGCGGCGGCCCCGGCGGCGGCGGCTTCGGCGGCGGCGGCTTCCCGGGAGGCGGGGCCGGGCCGGCCCCGCGGCGCCAGGGCTACGTCGGGCCTGTCCCTCTACAGGAGGAATGCTCAGAAGTAGGCAAATTATCCTGGCAAAGCAACCTAACAGCGATGTGTAGAAGCATATCTGAAAGCATTCCCCTTAAGATTCAGATGAAAATCCAGTTGTAGAATTCTGCTGTTCTCGCAGTCGTAGTCGCATTCGCGATGACAGTCGCAGCGGCAACGGCAGTCGCAGTCACAGCCTCAGCCTCAGCCTGCCTCAGCCTCAGCCTCAGCCTGCCTCAGCCTCAGCCTGCCTCAGCCTCAGCCTCAGCCTGCTTCAGCCTCAGCCTCAGTCTGCCTTCAGCCTCGGCCTCAGCCTCAGCCTGCCTCAGCCTCAGCCTGCATCAGCCTCAGCCTCAGCCTCAGCCTGCCTCAGCATCAGCCTGCCTCAGCCTCAGCCTCAGCCCTGCCTCAGCCTCAGCCTGCTTCAGCCTCAGCCTCAGTCTGCCATCAGCCTCGGCCTCAGCCTCAGCCTGCCTCAGCCTCAGCCTGCCTCGGCCGCAGCATCAGCCTGCCTCAGCATTCAAAATGTGGCCCAGGAATGGAGTTCTGGGAACTAGAAGAACACGAAGTGGCCTGCAGTTGGCTCCGGGCATTCAAAATCATGCCCAGGAATGGAGTTCTGGGAACTTGAAGAGCACGAAGTGGCCTACAGTTGGCTCCGGGCATCCAAAATGTGGCCCGGGAATGGAGTTCTGGGAAGTCGAAGAGCACGAAGTGGCCTACAGTTGGCTCCGGGCATCCAAAATGTGGCCCGGGAATGGAGTTCTGGGAAGTCGAAGAGCACGAAGTGGCCTACAGTTGGCTCCGGGCATCCAAAATGTGGCCCGGGAATGGAGTTCTGGGAGCACCAAGAGCGATTTTGCGAGGATGTCCCAAGCGATTTTGGCTTCGGCGGCAGCCTCCCCGGGTCCCGCCCCGACCCCCCTGAGGAGTCATGATGTTTTCTTTTGACACCACTAGAAACCTATCAGTCTTCGCTGTTAGGTAAAAAAATGTATGGGGATGATTATTTGGTTATTTTTTTGGTCACTTCAAATAATCAAAAAAAAACCCAAACATATTATCCCGGCAAAGCAACCTAACAGCGATGTGTAGAAGCATATCTGAAAGCATTCCCCTTAAGATTCAGATGAAAATCCAGTTGTAGAATTCTGCTGTTCTCGCAGTCGTAGTCGCATTCGCGATGACAGTCGCAGCGGCAACGGCAGTCGCAGTCACAGCCTCAGCCTCAGCCTGCCTCAGCCTCAGCCTCAGCCAGCCTCAGCCTCAGCCTGCCTCAGCCTCAGCCTCAGCCTGCTTCAGCCTCAGCCTCAGCCTCAGCCTCAGCCTGCCTCAGCCTCTCAGCCTGCCTCAGCCTCAGCCTCAGCTCAGCCTCAGCCTCAGCCTGCCTCAGCCTCAGCCTCAGCCTGCTTCAGCCTCAGCCTCAGTCTGCCTTCAGCCTCGGCCTCAGCCTCAGCCTCGGCCTCAGCCTCAGCCTCAGCCTCAGCCTGCCTCAGCCTCAGCCTGCCTCAGCATTCAAAATGTGGCCCTGGAGTTCTGGGAAGAAGACACGAAGTGGCCTACAGTTGGCTCCGGGCATTCAAAATCATGCCCAGGAATGGAGTTCTGGGAACTCGAAGAGCACGAAGTGGCCTACAGTTGGCTCCGGGCATTCAAAATGTGGCCCGGGAATGGAGTTCTGGGAATCGAAGAGCACGAAGTGGCCTACAGTTGGCTCCGGGCATCCAAAATGTGGCCCGGGAATGGAGTTCTGGGAAGTCGAAGAGCACGAAGTGGCCTACAGTTGGCTCCGGGCATCCAAAATGTGGCCCGGGAATGGAGTTCTGGGAGCACCAAGGGCGATTTTGCGAGGATGTCCCAAGCGATTTCGGCTTCGGCGGCAGCCTGTCCGGGTCCCGCCCAGACCCCCCTGAGGAGTCATGATGCTCTCTTTTGAGACCACTAGAAACCTATCAGCAAGAGCTCTTAGGTAATTATTTCAGATAATCGAAGAGTTTAAAATAGTCAAGAAATACCCCCATATTTTGGGGGTATGGTTTGACTATTGCTCATTTTTCCTCCAAGATCTCCCTGTGGGGGGACAGGCCCGACTTCATGGAAGAGGATCGGCGGTCAGCCCGGGGGGCGGGTGAGAGTGTCGGGCGTCGGGGCTCCAGGGGCGGGCGTCAGTGCCAGCGGGGGTCAGGATGCTGCAGGACCAGGGTCGAACTCACCCGGGCGTGGCTGCAGGATCCCGCAGGGTCTTGCAGGGTCTTGCTCGGGCCGGGCGAAAGGGGGGGATTGGGAAAGGGGGGGGTACGAAATTTGCTGCGTGCAGCTGGTTTCGGCCGCCTCCGGCGCCGGGAGGCGCCGGGAAAATCAGCTCCGTGAGCTGATTCTCAAACCCCCCCTTCGCTATCCCCCTCTTTTGCCCGACCCGACTTGCAAGGAGTTTGTTTTGTTATTTCCTGGGCGATGACGGACGTCAGGGGGGCGGGGGGAAGGTGGCTGGTAACGTCACGTTTTGCGCTGGCTGCGTCTGGGAATGCTCGAGAATGACCGAGGATCGGTAGGAGCAGCATGCAGGTTGCGATTTGCATTACAGCGTTTGTGTGAGCCACAGTGCCTGGGCGCACCACAGCGCCTGTGTACACCACAGCGCCGATGTACACCAGGGCAGCCGCGTGCAAAACAACGCCAGTGTGCACCACAATACCTGCGTGCACCACAGCGCTAGTGTAACCCACAGCGGCGATGTACACCACAGCAGCCATGTGCAACGCAGTGCACAACACAGTGCCTGCATGCACCACAGCGCCTGTGTACACCACTGCGCCCGTGTGCACCACAGCAACCGTGTGCAACATAACACCACTGTTGTTTTTAGAACTGTACAAGGCATCCTTCTGACAACATGGAGCGCTTGTGGACCCCACAGGAAACCAGTATTGTATACAGGAGTTGGAAAGAGATGCTTACGGACATACAGGATAGCTTCTGGAATCTACGAGTCCTCCCGAGGAGGAGGAAGAAGAGGAGGAAGAGGAGGAGGAGGAGGAGGACATGCCATGCGTTGGGGATCGGGACGCGCATAGAGACAAGGGCGGTGTTCTCTTGAAAGATGTTGCTTGAGGCGTCGAGAGCTGTCGAGGCAGTGCAGTGGGAGGCTCTGTGGCATGGGGGCGCTGTGGCATTGCACCGTGGTGCTGCGTGGCACGAGCGCTTACCTTTTTCTTGCCAGTTTCCATTTCGCGGTGCACACTGAGATGCGCACGTGCGCAGTAGCGCCGACATGCACGACGGGGATAAGGGCGAGGGAGGAGGAGGACGAGGAGGAGGAGGAGAAGGAGCAGGAGGAGGAGAGACGAGTGAAGAAAACCGCGTTCGATTCTAGCATTGCATTGGTGTGGCGCTTAGTTGTCCGCAGCATGTCCTCACCGACGTGTTCCTTCTACCTGTTGTGCGCGCGAAAGCACTGACGTGCACCCGCTCTGTGTTGCGCGCGGGTGCTTTGGTGTGCACAGGCGCTGTGCTGTACACGGGCGATGCAGTGCACGCCGGCTTTGTGGTGTTCACTTGGCGCTGTGTTGCAGACGGCTGATGCGGCGTACACATTCGCCGTGGTGCGCGCAGTCGTTGGGGAGCACGCAATCACGGTAGGGGCTCCACTGAAGGCCTCAATGGCAAAGTACGCATGCAACCCCCCCACAACCAGTACAGCGTGTCACAGCCCAAAGAGAGCTCCACCGAATGCCCCAGTGGCACCGTTCTCATGCGTCTTCCGCAACCGCTGCAGCGTTTCGGTGCACTTAGGGAGCTCTGCCGACAGCCCCAGGCAAAGTTCGGATGCGTCTCCAGCATCCAGTACAGCGTCTCGTGGCCCCACAGGAGCTCCACCGAAGGCCCCAGAGGTAAAATTCGCATGCGTCCCCGCACCTAGTACAGCGCTCCGTGGCACAGGGAGCTCCTCCGAAGAAGATACCCACAAGTGCGGTACACCTTGCACGCGCTTCGTGGCCCCACCGGGCACGCAAGTCTCCAGTGATAAAGTCTGCATGCCCCCCCCACCCACTCACCCAGTAGAGCGTTCCGTGGCCCCACATGGGGTTGCACCGAAGGCCCCAGTGGTGAAGTTCGCGTGCGTCTCCCCCACCGCGTGCAGCGTTTCGTGGCCCAATGGGAAGCTCCACCGAAAGCCCCAGTGGCAACATTTGCATGCGCACCCGCCCCACCCAGTACAGCGCTTCGCGGCCCCACCGGGGCTCCACCGAATGCCTCCGTGGTAATGTTCGCATGCGACCCCCCCACACCCTATACAGCGCTTCGTGGCCCCACAGGGAGCTCTGCCGACAGCCCCAGTGGCAAAGTTCGGATGCGCCCCCTCAAACCAACCCAGACCCACCCAGTACGGTGCTTCGTGGCCTCATAGGGAGCTCCACCGAAGGTCCCAGAGGCAAAGTTCGCATGCGTCTCCCCCCACGCAATACAGCGCTTCGTGGTCCCATGGAGAGCTCCACCGAAGGTTCCAGTGGCCGCGTCCGCATGCGACCGCGCCATCCCTCACGCGTTTCGTGGCCTCATCGGGAGCTCCACCGAAGGCCTCAGTGGCCGCGGCCGCATGCGTCTCCCCCACCCAGTACAGCGCTTCGTGGCCTCATAGGGAGCTCCACCGAAGGCCCCACAACGTTCGCATGCGTCTCCTCCACTCAGTACAGCGCTCCATGGCTCCATTGCCAGAGGGAACCTCACCGAAGGTCCCAGTGACAAGGTTCCCAGGCGCCCCCCCTTTCCCAGTACAGCGTTCCGTGACCCTATACGGAGCTCCACCGAAAACCCCAGTGGCCGCGGCGGCATTCGTCTCCCCTACCCATTACGGAACGCCCCTCATGCGATTCTTTGCTCCATTGGGGAGCTCCACTGAACGCGGTGCGGTACCCACAAGGCGATACCCACAATTGCATATCGTTGGGCCTTTAATTTGGAGCATTGTGTGTTGCTTTGGGGGAAGGGGGGGGATTGGGGGGGCAGTTGGAATGGTATTTCAACATGCCTCTTGGATCACTTTTGGAAAACGCCAAACGCGTCCAAACTATACGATAAGGGCCGCGGGATCATGATTGGGACGGGGAAGAGTAGGGGCAGGGGTACGAGGGGGAGGATTGGAGTAACCGGGCGAGGGGGGAGGAGCAGGAGAGGGGGAACCATAATACGATGTGGATGAAGGCGACGGGGTCGACGAGAAAGGCGGTCGGCAGCTCCTCGGCCTCCTGCTTCATCTCCTCGTGTTGCTCTTGGTCCTGCTGCTTCGCCTGGTCCTGTTCCCCCTGCTCAGGAGTGGGGTGGGGGCGGGGAAGGGAGTTCAAGTGAGTGAGGGGGGGGAAGCGGCAGAGGAGGGATAGGACGAGGGGAAGAAAGGGGAGGAGGAGCAGGAGGAGGAGGAGGAGGAGGAGGAGGAGGAGGGAGGAGGAGGGAGGAGGGAGGAGGAGGAGGAGGAGGAGGAGGAGGAGGAGGAGGAGGAGGAGGAGGAGGAGAAGGAGGGCGAGGAGGAGGAGGAGCAAGACGAGGAGCGGGAGTATGATGAGGATGGGAAGATTATGGCGTAGAGGAGGAGGAGAAGAGAAGAGGGGAGGAGAAACAGTGTTTGGGACTGGGTGAGGAAGAGGGAGAGATGGAAACGAGGGAGGAGAGGAAGGAGATGAGGGCGAGGGTGCTAGGAGAGGGACGCGGAGAAGGAGGGGGATGGGGAGGGAGGATGGGAAAGACAGCGACGAGTACGACGATCAGATCGACGACGACACATTCGACGATGACGATGAGACGCTCGCTCGGAGGCTTCGGCGGCTTCGGCGGCTTCAAGTCTGGATTCAAGGACGCCTCTGGCGCCGCCGCCAGCGCACGTGCGCAGCCCAGCCGCGCCCGCGCTGCTGGCTGCGCGTGGCCGGTGCAGCGGAGAGAGCGGGGACGGAGAAGGGGATCGGCACGAACGAAATGGGTACGGAAAGAAGGGGTACAGTGCCCAACAGCAGTTCTTGTCCATGTTGGTTTGGGACAACATTTGTTGCTGGGCATTGTACTCATTATTTCCGTACCCATTTCGGGCGCCCAAAGGAGAGAGCAGGTCAAGCAACGAAGGTCAAGCAGTGGCGCGGCGTCCTGGCTCGCCCATAGCCCTGCCAAACAATGCTCTAAGAACTTGTTTTGTGGCTTCCACGAGATCTTCTTAGAACATGTCTGGTTGAGCTTGTCTTGTTTTAACAAATCGGGTTTATGTTCTAAGAGTATTGTTTTCTTCTTAGAACATTTGCGGGTTCTAAGTACATTCCGTGGTAGGACGATAAAGAGGCCGGGACGATCGGTCCCTGCTCAAGCAGGGGGGTGCCTTGGCAGAGGGTCAAAGTCATTTGCCCAAAACTCTTCACCCCGTCTGGGCCTGAAAGCCTGCCCTGCCTCGTCGTCCTCCAGGCCTTCTCCTACTCCTCGAGGCGGGGGGAACGGAAGAAGGTTTGACTTGAGCGCTGGTCCCCAGAGAGGTCTTCCAGGTAGGAGGAGTCGGCTTGCAGGGGGGGCCGGGCGCGGGGGGGGCGCCAACGACCGCGCCGATTCCATCGCGGCCCGCTGCCCCTTCCCGGGACTCTCAGGAGTCCTCCGGGCCCAGTCGGCCTCGCAGTCGGCGCCGGCGTCGCGTCGCCCGCGAGGGCCAGCCGGCGGGCGGGCCGACCTTGTTGCGCATGTTTGGCGCGAGAGACCCGCGCGGGCCTCGCGCTGTGCCCGCGCCCCAGGGCGACGGCCCAGGCCCCTGTAGCCCCCCGCGCTGACGCGATGGCCTCGCGCTGGGCGCAGGAGCGGGCGCCGCCGACCGTTCGGTTCGGTTCCGCGCACTTCTCATGCGAGAACGCAAAGCCCCCCATGCTGCTCGCGCGCTTTGCGCGCTGAGCAATGCGATGCAGTTGCGAGTTGCGAAGTTTTCAATTGGAAACCGCGGCAAGTTTCCATTCCCGCGCGCGGGGCGGGGCATGAACTTACAGATGCGCCGACGGTCGAGAACTCGCGCGCGCGCCCGCGCCTGCCATGTTGGGCGTGCGCACTGGGTCCGGAAATCTGTGGCTCGGCCGCCCGATGCGCCCCAAAAATCGCTCCGCCTCCCCCCCGCCCCCCCCCCTTCAAAACTCTTCCGCGCTCCTGGAAAAACCATGCCGCCGAGGCGGGAGCTCGGGCCGCGGCCTGATGGTCCCCGGGGCACAGGGGAATCAGTACGGAATCAGTACAGAATCAAAACAGAATCGGCACAACTGCGACCCCTGATTCTAGCGGAATCAAAAGAATCAGTACGGAATCAATACGGAATCAAAGGAGGAATCGGCGATGAAACCAGAATCGGCCAGAACGGGGAAGTAGGCCAGAATCGGTGCCAGAACCCATGGAGAGAGGCCTTTTTCCCGCGAGTTCATGGCGGCGGGTCCGCGGCGCGGGCGCGCCGCGCGGCTTCGCTGGTTCAGCGAGGCGCGCAGTCGGCGTTCAGAGTGAACAGGTTGTTTTCAGGGCGATATCCTGGCGGCGCGCTGGCGCATTGCGCATTTGCATCTTCCTGGCGGGCTGTTTGAGAGCGACCCGGCAGCGTCGGCCGAATGGCCCGCAAATGCCGCGAGGCCGATCGCGCGCCCCATGCGGCCACGTCGACCGCCGTGTGCCGCGACGGCCGCGCGCCCCGGACCGCGCCACTGCCGCCTTGGATTGGACGGCGCAGCGCCCGTTTTCCAAAAGTCGTTAAATGCATATCGCGCGTGTCGAGCCAGCAGCAATCGCTCCCAGAAGCAGCCTCGACATGCGCCCCATGCCCGTTGTCGCCCGGTTCCGATCCAAATCAGATGGTTTCTTAGGATGCGCTTGCGCGAATGTGAGCGCGCGGGCAAGTAACGCGTGCGCGCGCTTGGCGCAGCCTGGGAAATCCAACATGGAGCCCCCCGGGGGCGCGGGGCGCGGGCGACGCCTCCGCCCGCCTCTCGCGCGCCCGACCCCCCCCGCAAGCCGACTCCTCCTACTTCCAGGGCTGTGCGCTCAAACGACGGATCGCCCTGGAGGGGCAGGGCGAACGCTGCTCGAGTGGGCACGGAGGCCTAGGCACGGCTACAGAAAAGTATGTTGTTGCAAATGCGCAGCTCAGAAGTCTGAAGCAGCGTCGCCTTCGTTTCGTCACGATTCTTAGGAACCGACTGGACTGGACTCCTTCTCTCCTCCTCTTGGCGGTAAACTCGCTGAGTAGGCCAAGATTTTTCGCCCCCCCGAAGCCTGGCGAAAGACCCAACCATATGCAGCTGCAAATTACGCAGTGTATGACCCCCCCCTCGTAGGTAGCGCGCCGCGGGAAGGCTTGGACACGGGACATTGGGATGGTGCCCGCTAAACATGTGATGGTTCTGCCGAAGTGGGCTGTGGGGCGCATGCTCACCTTGCCACAGGAGCCTTCGGTGAAGCTCCTAGTTGGGCCACGAATTGTGCGAGAGGTGTGCCGAAATGCTGGCTGGGAGTCGCACGCGAACTCTGCCACAGAAGCCTTCGGTAGCGCTCCCTGTGGGGCCTCAAAACGTATGAGGGATGTGCCGACATGGGCAGCGGGGCGCATGCGAACGCTGCCGCAGGAGCCCTCGATGGAGCGCCCTAGGCGGCCACGAAACGTGTGGGGGGTGTGCCGAAGTGCGCAGCGGGGACGCATGCGAACGCTGCCACAAGAGTCTCCGGTGGAGCTCCTTATCAGACCACAAAGCATGTAAGAGGTATGCCGAAGGGTGCGGCGGGGACGCATGAGAACGCTGTCGCAAGAGCCTTCGGGTGGAGCTTTCCATGGGACCACGAAACGTGTAAGGGGTGTGCCGAAGTGTGGCGAGGACGCATGCTAACGCTGCCACAAGAGCCTTTGGTGGCGCTCCCAAGGGGGCCACGAAACGTGTAAGGGGTGTGCCGAAATGCGCGGCGGGGACGCATGCGAACGTTGCCACAAGAACCTTCGGTGGAGCTCCCTGTGGGGCCACGAATCGTGTGAAGGGTGTGCCGAAGTGCGCGGCGGGGACGCATGCGAACGCTGTCCCGGGGGGCTTCGGTGGAGATTCTCAGGCAGCCACGAAACGTGTGAGGGGTGTGTCGAAATGTGCAGCGGGGACGCATGTGAACGCTTCCGCAACAGCCTTCGGTGGAGCTCCCCATGGGGCCTCGAAGCGCGTGAGGGGTGTGCCGAAATGCACGGCGGGGACGCATGCGAACGCTGCCACAAGAGCCATCGGTGGAGATCCCTTCATTGGGGCCTCGAAACGTGTGAGTTGTGTGTGTGTGCCGAAATGCGCAGCGAGGACGCATGCGAACGCTGCCACAAGAGCCTTCGTTGGGGTTCCTCTGGGGCCACGAAACGTGTGACGGGTGTACCGAAACAGAGACATGCGGAGGGCAGAGGCACGGATGGGAAGGAGGGAGTTGGAGAGGAGAGGAGAGGAGAGAGGAGAGAGGAGAGGAAAGGCGAGGAGATAAAGGGAGAAGAGAGGAGAGGAGAGGAGAGGAGAGGAGAGGAGGAGAGGAGACGTGCGGCGATGCGTATCCAAACCAAGGACCCAACACCACAGGATGGTCGGGAGCAAAGAATGTGTCCCAACTCCTTGGCCGTGCCTGGTTTTTAATACGTTGAGCCGTCAAGCCGTAGTACATTGTGGGTGGGGGCACGAGCGAGCGAGTCAGATGCCACACGTGGTTTAACAAGTCGGCGGCGAGCCAGGGGTTGAAGTGAGAAAGAGAAGGCCTTCCCAGAAGGGTCGGAAGTCCCCCGACCTTCTGAGATGTGTTCTAAGCCTTCCCGAAGACAGAACACAACTTCTCAGAAGACGCGAGGGCTTTTGAGAAGTCCCGCCGCCTTCTGAGAAGGCCTTCGCCTTCTCATTTCCCCCCCTCATTCGCCGCGGAATTAAGTGACGAGGCAAGCGGCTCCTTGGAAGCGAGTCTGCTTGCGTCCAAGTGCACGTCAGAATGGGTAGCGGGCCTGGAGGGTCCACCAGGCACGCGTCTGCAGAGACGTTCGTTCGCTCGGTCTCCTCCTCTCCCTTCTTTCATGGTCTCTTTCTCCTTCCTACCCCTCCTCCATGTTCGTCCCTGCTTCCTGTCCGTCCTGAAGAGGAGGAGGAAGAGGAGAAGGAGGAGGAGGAGGAGGTGTGGATGGCGGAGAACGATGAGGATATAGGATGGTGGATGTCAGGCGGAGCATGGAAGATGGAGGAGGGAGTTCGGAGGAGGATAGTTGCCCAGAGCGAGCAAGGGGGAGGACGACGAGGAGGATGGACGCGAGAGAAGATAGGAGAGGAGGAGGAGGAGGAGGAGCAGGAGGAGGAGGACGGGGAAGAGGAGGAGGAGGAGGAGGACGCCGCAAAGGGGGCAAAGGAGGAGCCGAGGACCCGCACGACCTCTTCAAGGACATGTTCCCCGGAGGCGACCCCTGGGCCGACTTCGCAGACTTCTTCTCCGACGCCGCCGCCGGCGGCGCGAGCGAGGAGGCGCCTGCTGCCTGGGGGCCAGCAGGGGCCACTAGAATGCGTCAGGAGGGGCAAGAGCACACAGAGACAATTGGTCGTCGATGCCCCTGGAAAAATGGGGAGATATGTGGCCGTGGGGGGGGGAAGACAGGAAACCAGAACAGATGGGAAAATATGGGGAATCCTTGTAGTTGTGTGCATTTATTTAATCGCTTCGCTCATTCGGCCTGCCCTCGAGCCCTCTCTAGGGTCTCTTGGGGGCCTCTTGGGGACCTCTTGGGAGTCTCTTGGGGCTCCTTGGCGGCGTCTTGGGGGCCCCCAGGGCCTCTTGGAGGGCTCTTGTGGGCCTCTTTGGGCGTGAGGGGGGGTAGTCGATTGCGGCTCAATGAGAAATCCGAATTCGAAGATGCAGAAGAAGCTGAATGCGAAGAACACCAAGACGAGGCATAATAATAATAATAATCATATGAAGAAGAGAATGCGAAAACAGAAAACGAAACTGTATGATCATGTGGGGGGGCAAGCATATATAATTAGATATTATATATATATAGAGAGAGACGGATAGAGATATACAAGCAGCAAAACAATATGTTGTAATAGCGCAGACATATATCTAGCAAGCACGAGGGATAACGAGAGAGAGAGAGAGAGAGACAGAAATAGAGAGAGAGAGAGTCAGTGTAGAACGAAGAAAGTGGACAACAGGGTAGGGAGTCAAACTAGACTAGGGCGGGGGGAGGGCCGATAGCAGGGAGTGTCTAGTGGCTTGGGGCACATCCCGCCGCCGTGCCTGGAGGCGGTCTCGGGGGCAGTATTGGGCACATGCGGGAGTCACAACAAAGGATTTGTTGTTCTGCTATCTGGTGTAATATGTTGAACGCGTTTCTTCTCATACGGCGATGTTGCTGGTGACGGTGATGAGGTAACAGGTGAGGATTGCGGGCAGTGTCGGTCCCGGTCCGCGTTGTCGCGAGACATGGCGTTCTCGGCGTCCATTTGCCATTCTGCCAGGATGCCGCGGAGCAGGAGATGGCGATCAAGGACCGGGGGGGGATACCAGTAGCAGCACTAGGTGGTTGAAGTGCAGGGATGGAGGGAAAGGATTATGATGATGTTGACGCTAACGGTGACGATTAATTCAACTTCACCAGCCGGTTCCTTTCGCTTCATATCACAACTCCTCTTATTATCCTCCCTTACATTATTTATCCTCTGCTTCTTTTTATGGCAGCGTCGTTGCGTATCTCCTATCAGTGGTTTTCGTCATTGTGGTTTGCAGTCGTGCCATTATTTCTCATTCGCCCTTTGTCACAACCATTTGATACCCCTGATACATCCCTTGTAATATGAACCAGGTTCGTCGCATTCGCATGTGTTGTGACTCCACATCATCTTGAGTGCATGTATAATATTGGTCGCTTTCTTTCTGAACGTCGTATTGGCATTCGTAGTTTGATTATCGTCCTCTCTGTTCGTCCTCATCGTCATCATCTTTCACAGAGTTAGTTTCCTGCAAGTGCTGCGTGAACAATCATGGGCGTTTCGGGGCAGAGGATTCGAAATGGCTGTTCATGCCCCCCTCTTCGGCCCTGGACTCGCCTTGAGGCCCTCGTGGGTCGTCTTGGGAGCCTCTTGTAGCATCGTTGGTACGTGCCTGCGCGCTTGTGGGGGCTTTTTTCTGAGCCTCATGGAGCCTCTTGGGGGAAGGACCTCTTGGGGCATCTTGGGGGAGTCTTGGGGCTTCTCGGGGGCCTCTTGCAGCCCTCTCTGGGGTTTTCTGGCGGTGTTGGTGGGGGCATCTGTCGGATAAAGGGTTCGAAGTTTCAGTTCGGGTTCCCCCTCTTTGAACCTTGTTTTGAGGGGTTGCGGGGCCCTCTTGGGCCGTCTCGCGGCCGTCCTGTGGGCCGTCTTGTTGCAAATGTTGGGTGGCCGGAAGACTCAAGGCTGTATCGTCAACATCTTCCAAACAATTACGCAGCATCAATGGTTTTGGGCTCCTTGTGTACCTCGTCCGACTCGGATGACCTCGTGGAGTTTGCTTGGGGTCCCTCGGTGCGCTCCTGGGGTATTCTTGGAGTCCTTGAAGACCGCCCCTGAGAATTCATGCATCCGTGACCCTGACCGCCTGGGGACCGCCTGGCGTAGCGTTTGAATTGGGCACCCAGGGGCCGCCACGCGCGTGTGAGCTGGAAACATCGAAACCTGTTACCATAGATTTTAGCGTGCCTCCGGCCTGTTCGGCTGGCGAATTCTTCTGTCATGCAACTCGTCGGTCTATCCGTTGTGTCGTCCTCGCCCTCTTCATCTTACTACTTGTAAGCGTTATTCTTGGCATTATCTAATTGCCTTTGGCCCACCCCGCCACCGTGAATGGGTTGCAGGTGTGAAGCTTATTGGATGTTCGTTGGGATCTCGTGGGAGGCCGCTCGGTGGCCTCTCGGAGGCGGTTTTGGTGCCTCTTGGGGGCAGTTTTTGAGGCCTCCTGGGGCCTCATTTGGGCCTCTCTTGGGCCTCTTGGGAACCCTTGGGGCCTCTGGGGTCCTCTAGGGCGGAAGCTTGGATGTTCCGTTTGAGTTTGGCCAAGCTATCGGGCCACGCTTTCCCCGAGTCGTTTTGGAAAGCTTTCGGGGAACACGGAGTCGGGCGAGCTATCGGACCAGGTGGTTTCCGAGCTTTCCGGCCTCCTGGAGGATGTCTTGGAGAGGTCTTGGGCCGTCGGTATTTGGGGGCCTTTGAGGGCTTCTTGGGGGCCTCTTTGGCCGTCTGAGGGCGTTCCTGGCTTGTCTGACGCCGTCGGAAGCCGTCTTGGGGGCCTGTCTGGGTCGTCTTGGGGCTCTCTTGGGGCATATCAGGGGTTCTTAGAGGCCATCTTCGGCGTCTTGGAGGCCTCTTGGGCCGTTTTGGGGCTCTCTTGGGGGCTGTCTTGGGATCCTTTTGGGCCGTCATGGGGCCATCTTGGAGGCCTCTTGGGCGATCTTGTGGGCCTCTTGCGCCGTCTTGATCCGTCGGTATGCCGAGAAAAGAAAATGCCAAAATCCTTCAAACACCTAAGGTTGATCAATGATTTTGGCCTCGTCGTGCCCTCCTGGAAGACCTCCTGGACGCCTTTTGGGCCGTCTTGGAGGCCTCTTGGTGGCCTCTTGGGCCGTCTTGGGCCATCTTGAGGCCATCTTAGGCCGTTTTGGGTGCATATTGGGCCGTCTTGGAGGCATTTTGGGGCCATCTTAGCAGTCTTGGAGGCCATTTTATAGCCGTCTTGGAGGCCCCTTGGGACCCCTTTGGGCCGTCTTGGGGGCCTCTTGGGCCGTCATGGAGCCATCTTGGCGGCCTCGTGGGCGATATTGGGGGCCTCTGGGGCCGTCCTAAGCTGTCGCAAGGCCAGAAAAAGTTTTGGAGGCCTCTTGGGCCGTCTTGGGGCCCTCTTGTTGCCGTCTTGGGGGCCTCTTGGGCCGTCATGGGACCATCTTGGAGGCCTCGTGGGCGATCTTGGGGCGATCGTGCGGGCCTCTTGGGCCGTCCTGGGCCGCCGGAAGGCCGAAAAGAAGCAAATGCCCAAATCCTTCAGAAATCAAAGGGAAACCACTGATATTGGCCTCTTCGGGCCCTTCTAGAGGACCTCTTGGAGGCCTCTTGGGTTGTCTTGGAGGCCTCTTGGGCCGTCTTGGGCCATCTTGAGGCCATCTGAGGCCGTTTTGGGTGCATCTTGGGCCGTCTTGGAGGCCATCTTGACCGTCTTGGAACCATCTTAGAGGCCATATTGAGTCATCTTGGAGCCATCTGGGGCAAGAAAGCCCTCGGCAACCACCTCTGGAAGATCCTTTCGGGTGGCCGGCGGGACGGGCCGAAGCCCCAGGGGGAGTCCTTTTGGAAAAAGAACCAAAACCAAAACCGAAATCGTCTAGCACGCCAGGCACCCCTGCGATGAATCGACAGGGGGCGGCGGATCGAAGACGCCTACGGCGAATCACTGCCGCCCACTGCCTTTTGTGGAAACGCCTATGTGGCCGAGAGTTGGGCTAGAGCTTGGCCAAGCTATCGGACCATGAGTTCCCCGAGTCGGTTTGGACAGCATTCGGGGAACACGTGGGGGAGAATGAAATTGAAGAGGGAGAGGAAGAGGAAGAGACAGAGTAGGAGGATGAGGCTTCTTGGGAGCGTTGTGGCAAAAGCTCTGCCAAAGTATCGGGCCATGTGTTCCCCCAACCGTTGTGGAAACCCTTCGGGGAACACTTGGGGGAGGATGGCAGGGAAGATAAGAGGAGGAGGAGGAGTCGGAGGAGGAGGAGGAGGAGGAGGAGGAGCAGAGGAGGAGAGGAGGAGGAGAGGAAGGAGGAGGAGGAGGAGGAGGAGGAGGAGGAGGAGGGGGCACGTTAGGAGCCTCTGGGGACACTCTTGGGGCCTCCTGGGAGCTTGCTGGGAGCCTCTTGAATAGTTTGGCCGTCTTGGTGGGCTCTTTGGCCGTCTTGGGGGCTTCTCGGGTGCCTCTTTGGCTGTCTTGGTGGGCTCCTGGCCCGTCTGACGCCGTCGGAAGCCCTCTTGGGGGCCTCTCTGGGCCGTCTTGTGGCCCTCTTCGCGTGCTCCAGGGCCGTCTTGGAGGCCATCTTGGGCGTGGCCGTCTTGGGGGCCTCTTGGGGCCGTTTTGGGGGCCTCTTGGACCGTTCTGGGGCCATACTGGAGATCTCTTGGGCGATCTTTGAGGGGCTCTCGGGCCGTCTGGGGCCGTCAAAGGCCGAAAAAACGCAAACGCCACAATCTTTCAAAACCAAGGAAAATCAATGATTGTGGCCTCTTCGGGGCTTCCTGGAGGCCCTCTTAAAGGCCTCTTGGGCCGTATTGGCAGCCTCTTGGGGGCCTCTTGGGCCGTCTTGGTGGGCTCCTGGCCCGTCTGACGCCGTCGGAAGCCGTTTGGGGGGCCTCTCTGGGCCGACTTGGGGCCCTCTTGGGGTGCTCCAAGGCTGTCTTAGAGGCCATATTGGGCGTCTTGGAGGCCTCTTGGGGACCTCTTGGGCCGTCATGGGGCCATCTTGGAGGCCGCTTGGGTGATCTTGGGCCGACCTTTGGGGCCTCTTGGGCCCTCTTGAGACGTCGGAATGCCGAGAAGAAACACATGCCAAAATCCTTCAAAAACTTAAAGAAAACTAATGACTTGGGCCTCTTCGGGCCCTCCTGGGGGACCTCTTGAAGACCTCTTGGGTCGTGTTGGGCCGTCTTGGAGGCGTCTTGGACGAACTTGGAGGTGTCTTAGACTCTCTTGGGCCGTTTTGGAGGCAGTCTTGGACGATCTTGGGCGGACTGGGGGAGGCCATCTTGGACCATCTTGGAGGCCATCTTGGGCCAACGTGGCCATCTTGGCGCCATCTTGAGCCATCTTGGAGGATTTTGTTCTGGATTGAGGTCTTTCCCGGGACCCCGGCGGGACGTGCCGGAGCCCCAGGGGGAGTTTTTTGGAAAAGAACCAAAACCAAAATCGAAATCGTCTAGCACGCCAGGCACCCCTGCGATGAATCGACAGGGGGCGGCGGGTCCTAGTGGCCTTCGGCCCATCCCGCCACCGTGCCTGGGTTGCGGGTCTGAGGCCTCTTGTAGATGTGTTGGGGAGTCGTAGGGAGCCTCTCGGGGGCTTCTTGGAGGCGGTTTGGGCGCCTCTTGCAGGCCTTTTGGGGCTTCGTCGGGTATCTTTTGGGCCTTTTGGAAGCCTCTTGGGCGCGTCTTGGGCGCCTCTTGGGGCCTATTGGGGCCTCTTGGCGGCTTCTTGGGGCCTCCTGGGGGCTTCTCGGGGCACAAATATAGAATGTTCGGTTCTTGGTTCCCTGCTTGGGCCCCTCTTGGGGCCGTCTTGGGGCCCTCCTGGGCTGTCTTGAGCTATTCTTGGGCCATCTTGAGCTCTTCTTGGGCCATCTTGGAGCCCTCATGGGCCGTCTTGGGGCCCTCTTGGAGGCGTCTTGGGTCGGTCTTGGGAGCTTCTTGAGCCGTCTTGGAACGTCGGAAAGCCGAAAATGCGAGAAGGCCAACATCCTTCAAAAACCGTCGTAACTTCTACGATTGTGGCCTCTTGGAGCTCTCTCAGGCGGCCTCTTGGAGCGCTCTTGGGGCCTCTTTGGGCTCTCTTGGGCCGTCTTGGAACCATCTTCGGGCGCCTCGGAGCACTTGCTTGGCCTCGGCAATGCGAAGACGGCGTAGTTTGCAAAGGTTTATGGCTTCGGGGGCGCGAACATTTGTTAATTTACGAAGGTTTGTTGCCTCGGGACCCAAGAATTGACTAATTTACGAGAGTTTGTGGCCTCGGGCACGCGAACATTGTGTAATCGACGAGGGATTATGGCCTCGGGGGCGCGAATCTCATTTACTTGCATGTGTCCCACACGCCCCCCCATGAATTCAGAGAACGCGACTCGGGGGTAGTAACCGGGCGGTTTGGGGCTCCCCCCCCTCTCGCCCAATAGTTTACAATAGGAAGTAGAAAGCAGGACTGTGAAAATGGAGACTTGAAACTGCAACGGGTGCAGCGAGCAGCACACTTCGGCCCACAGCCTGGTGGCCCCACAAGGGGGCCGGCGGACTCTCGTCCGTGTTGTTCTTTTCTGCCGGCGCCGAGACACTTGGAAGACCTAGAACCCCAGGACCCCTAAAACCATATCATCATCATCCCACCCTTTTCGCTTTTTGTTCAGAGCAGGAGCTCGAAGAAGCCCTGGTCCAGTTCTACAGGGACGTTGGCCAGCCCGAGAAGGACGCCGGCCGTAGCAGGGGGGCACAGTGACACCCAGGTCGAGGCAGAGGGGAGTGAGACATCGCTCTGCGAGGGCGGCAGGGGGGGAAGAGAGAGCGTCGATGGAAGAGCAGGAGGAGGAGGAGGAGGAGGAGGAGGAGGAGGAGGAGGAGTAGGAGGAGGAGGAGGAGGAGGAGGAGGAGGGGGGCAGAGAAAGAAGGGAGTAACCCTGGGAAGCAATCAGTAAACCCCCCTCCCCCCCCCCCCCCCCTTCATCAGAGGAAATTATAACGCTTCCGGCACCGGGGCCGGGGCGGAAGCGATATCCCCCGCAGGTCACCAGAGGTCCGCGGAGGGGAGGTCCCCGGAGGTTCCCAGGAGGCATCCAGAAAGGCCTCCACAAGCCTCTGAATGCCCGGTCCCCTTGTAGTCCAGAGCCCAGCGACAAGGCACACCTGCCCAGAGTCGCTTCCTGTGATTCTGTGCGTTTCTGTGAGATTCCTCAGAGATTCCTCTGATACTCCGATTGGCTTCTTTTGAGATTCCTTGCCGTTTCCATTGTGATTATTTTGGGGCTCCTTTGAGACTCCTCTGGTGTTCCTTTGATGTTATTCTGAGGGTCCCTTGAGGCTCCGGTCATATCCCTTTGATGCCCCATCCGGGGCCGGTGGATTAATTTATTTTTTAGAAATGTGCTAACATATCGCGGGGGGGTTCGCGGAATGCGTCTGCGAAATCTCTCCGTGGACTCTCCCATAGGATCCCCTGAAAGAATCAATATGTGATTATTTTGGGACTCCTTTGAGACTCCTCTGGTGTTCCTTTGATGTTATTCTGGGGGTCCCTTGAGGCTCCGGTCATATCCCTTTGATGCCCCATTGCTCAAGAGAGCATCACATCGACATCCGGGGCCGGTGGATTATTTTATTTGTAATAAATGTGCTAACATATCGCGGGGGGGTTCGCGGAATGCGTCTGCGAAATCTCTCCGTGGACTCTCCCATAGGATCCCATGAAAGCATCAATTTCCCTAGTGCGGTCGCAATAGGGATTGCTTATGTCCACGCGAGCCCGCGTTTTCCAAATGCCTTAGATTCCTTTGTGGTTCGTTTGAGCTGCCGCTGAGATGCCTTTGACATTTCTGTTGGGCTCCTTTGAGATTGCTTTGAACTTCCATTGGTTCCTTCGGTATCATGCGTGCGATTCCTTGTGATATTATTATGGGATTCCTTTGGGGGTTCTTTCAAGTTCCTCTGATATTCCTTCGACAATCCCTGAAGGGAGCATCACATCGACCTCCGGTGCCTGTGGATTATTTTATTTTCAATAAATGTGCTAACATATCGCGGGGGGGGTTCGCGGAATCCGTCTGCGATATCCCTCCGTGGACTCTCCCATAGGACCCCGTGAAAAAACAATTTCCCTATTGCGGCCGCAATAGGGTTTGCTTATGTCCACGCGAGCCCGCGTTTTCCAGATTCCTTAGATTCCTTCGTGGTTCGTTTGAGCTGCCGCTGAGATCCCTTTTTGCGATTTCTGTGGGGTTCCTTTGAGCTTACTTTGAATTTCCAATAGGGATCCTTTGAGATTCTGCGTGGGCTTCCTTCTGAGATTCCTCTGGGATTCCTTTGGGGGGTCATTTCAAGTATTGTTGCTTGCGGTGATTTCATTGTTTGTCATTTTTGATTTACCTTTGATTTCCGATGCGCGTCAGTTTCCCAGTGTTCTAGCAAGGCAGGAATGCATTGGCAAGCGTTCGTGCGCGTTGGTTCTTCAAGCTGTCGCCTCGCGTTGCCGCCAGCTCCGGGCCCGGGGGGGCAAATTAATTAATTAATTATTTTATTTTTTTTAATGTGCTAACGATATCGCCGGAGGGCGCCGCCCAAAATAATTATTTATTTTATTTTCTGTGCTAGCGATATCGCCGGGGGGTTTACTGTTTGCTTGCCAGGGTTAGAGGAGGAGAAGGACGAGGAGGAGGAGAAGGAGGTTCTTCTGACCATGCAGGTGTCTTACACCAGGCTTTCGGGTGTCTCAGCGCTTTGCACGGGGACTCTGGGGAGCATACGTACGTATCGGCTTTCTGGGTTCCTCCTCCGCCTCTCCTCTTCCTCATCATCATCACCATCCTTCTCCTCTCCCGCATGGCGCTGGGAATCCCCCAAATTGTCGGCAGGCGTGCCAGCGTTCTAGCCCCGTGGCCCCGTCTGGGCAGCGTGCTTGGAAGGGGGATGGGGCGTGTGGATCACGCGGAGGTTCTCCTGTCCTCTTCCTGTTGGTCCTGGTTAGGATGCAACTCTTGGGAGGTCAAATTCAGCATCGGCGCTGGTATATCTGTGATCGAAAACTTGTCCAATCAGGCATACTCCCGCATAATCTGGCACAGTTCCGATTAATCCGTCTCAATCCCGCCTGACATCCTGGGCTTAAAGTCGGCCTAATCGGGTTTACTGGCCCCCTTCGGACGTGACTAGGAGGAGGATCAATCTGTCCCAGAGAGCGTTCCGAAACGCTCTGAGAAGGCCGCGACGCTCGATACATCCTCCAGAGCCGCCAGATCTGAGAGATTCTCGATCTATCCTCACCCGCATGTGTCCTCGTCCTGGCCACGTCCTACCCCTAGTCGGCCTCAATCGCCCCTAATCGTTCTTGCGAAGACCTCCCAGGAAAGGCTTCCTGACCCCCGGGGTCCGCTGGTCGGACGGGCCTGGGATCAGGATACTCAGGAGGGAAAGAAGCACACAGACACAATTCATCCTCGATTCCCCAGAAAATGCAGGAAAATATGGAAAGTGGGGGAGAAGACAAAAACCAAGAGCGTTTCGGATCGCTCTCGGAGCGTTCCAGAAGGCTCCGACACGACCGCGGTGCCGGATACTTTCTCCAAACCCGCCGACTGCTAGGAGGAGGAGGAGGAGGAGGAGGAGGAGGAGCGACTCGCGCCAGCGCCTTCTGGGAGTGCTTCGGCATGGCTACTTCCCCACGCGGCGCCCGCGCGAGGCGTGGAGGGACCAGGGGGGTGGGTGGGCGGGCCGTGGCCAGCCACGGCGTTGTCAGGAACGACAGGAGGAACGAGTAGTGTCAGGTCGAGCCTGTCCCCCTACAGGGGGATTTTCGACGAAAAGCAAAACATACCCCAAACATGCTAAGCAAGAAACAATGCACAACATATTCTATCATTATCCTGGCGAAGGACCCAACCATGCGCAGTTGTGAATACCGCAATTCTGAATCTCATCTTTGCACGCGTTCCCCATGGGGCCACGAACCGTGCGAGGGGCGCGCCGAGATGCGTGGCGGGGCACGCGTCGAGAGCGAAGACGATAGGTCTGCGTGCGAAAGACTGAGCGCGAGTGAGTCTGATTGTGAATGATTCTGCGCGCGAATCCGTCCATGCGCATAAGCGTCGACGCCCATGTCGGCGCGCTCCTCCCGAAGATCGCGCCCGCTTCCTTCCCGTTCTGTTTGGTTTCTCTCTCTCTCTCTCTTTGCCCGTGCGCGCCCATGTCCGAGGCTGCGGGCGCGGCGCCACACGGGGCCCCCGCGACGCACGCCGGTCGCCCCGAAGGGGTCCCGGCGACGCGCGCGGGTCGCCCGCTGCGCGGAGCAGAGAGAGCTGGCTGGCTGATAGCGGGCAAGGCTGTGGCCGCCGGGCAGAGAGACGACGGGGGCGAGCGAGGTTCTCGGCAGAGCGCAGCGCGGAATTCCTGCGACGCGCGCTGGTCGCCCCGAGAGGGCCCCAGCGACGCGCGCGGCTTGCCCGCGGCGCGAAGCCAAACAGTCAGACCGTCGAGAAACGGCGAGGCTCGGGCGGGTCGGTTTTCAAGTCAAGCCTCGCGGATAAAGTCGGTGAAGCCCAGTTCCCTGGCGAGGGCCGTCGCCTCCCTCCTGCGCCGCTTCGTGCGCGTAGCAAACTGCTCCGGCTGCTTCCGCAATCCCTCCGGCGGCCCTGCCGGGAAGAATTCGATGCGCTAGGTCCTCGTGGCGCGTGGCGCGCGAGAGCAGCGCGTAGAGCTGCAGCCGCCAGTCGTCGTCCTCCTTCCTGCCGTTTCCCACTTCGTGGAGGCCGCAGTCCAGGATCACGCCTGGGCGACATCGGCCGAGGGAGCAGCGCGGTGGACAGCCGACGGCCCAGGGCGAGAGTCCACGAGACGAAAGAAGCTTTCCAAAACGTGTGAGGTGCCACGAAACGTGCGAGGGGCGTGCCAAAATCGGGCGGCGCCGCCATGCGGGCAGCGCCGCTGGAGCCATATATGGAGCTCTCTATGGGGCCACAGCAAGTGTGAGGGGTGTGCCAAAATGGGGCGGCGCCGCCATGCGGGCTGCGCCACTGGGACCCTAGATGGGGCCCCCTATGGGGACACGAAACGTGCGAGGTGTGTGCCAAAATGGGGCGGCGCCGCCATGCGGGCTGCGCCATTGGGACTTTATGTGGAGCTCCCTATGGGGCCACGAAGCGCGTGAGGGGTGTGCCAAAATGGAGCGGCGCCGCCATGCGGGCCGCGCCACTGGGACCTTAGGTGGAGCTCCCTATGGGGCCACGAAGCGCGTGAGGGGTGTGCCAAAATGGAGCGGCGCCGCCATGCGGGCTGCGCCACTGGGACCTAAGATGGAGCTCCCTATGGGGCCATGAAACGTTTGAGGGTGTACCAGAATGGGGCGGCGCCGCCATGCGGGCTGCGCCACTGGGGCTTCAGGCGGAGCTCCTTATGGGGCCACGAAACGTGAATGGAGCGGCGCCGCCATGCGGGCTGCACCGCTGGGGCCTTGGATGGAGTTACCTATGGTGCCACGAAACTTTTGAGGGGTGTACCAAAATCGGGCGGCGCCGCCATGCGGCTGCGCCACTGGGGCTTCAGGTGGAGCTCCTTATGGGGCCACGAAGGGTGCGAGGGGTGTGTCTAAATGGGGCGGCGCCGCCATGCGGGCTGCGCCAGTGGGACCTTAGGTGGGAGTTCCTATGGGGCCACGAAGCGTGTGAGGGGTGTTCCGAAAGAGAGACATGCGGAGAGCAACGGCAAGGACGGGGAGGGGGGAGGAGGAGGACGAGGAGGAGAGGAGAGGAGGAGACGCGGGGCACCGTCCCTTCAAAACGAGGACCCAACACCAAAAGATGGTTGGGAAATAGTCCCCAGATTATTTTGGGATTGCTTTTGGGGCATGTTTAATTTGTCGTCGAAAATCCCCCTGTAAGGGGACAGGCCCGACTTAACAGTAGTGCGCTTCGATTTCGGACTCCAGGGCCCGTCGTCGGGCCCCAGGACCAGGAACAAAAACATGTTCGGGGTGGAAGACTGGCCCCAGGGGTGTGGTGGGGACCCCTCTGAGGCCACGCGCGGAAAACGTCGCGCGGTCGGATGTCCACGGCGTTTGGACGCTGCCAGTGGTACGGGGTTGGCTTCTGTCGAGCGGCCTGCGCTGAAGGAGAGATGCTATGGGAATTTCGGATTCCGGGGCCCGTCGTCGGGCTCCGGGACCAGGAACAATTACTCATTGCGTGGACTTCTCCATACGGGCATCCTTTTGTCCAAAAATATTGCATGTGGGATATTTAAATGAGCGTGTAGCCATGCGATCCATATGCGCATATGACATCGTAGGGTTTTGCGATGGTGAACATATGTCGATGCTAGTTTCGTTATGAGAGCGCGTCTACGTGAGCGACGAACACGCGCGCGCGGCTCGGCTGCACATCCAACACGTGTATATGTCCAGCCGCAACCATATCTCAGCGCATCTGTTTTGTCAAAGCAGCGCATTCACTGGCACAGCGTCGCAAGCACCGTGGCAGAGGTCTTTCGCTTGTGCCGTCCACACCAAGATGGGGCTACCTTGTAAAACAAATCAATGAGGAATTCACGCGGAGTGCCGTCCGCACGTGGCATCGGGCCATGATTGTGCGAGCGCTTAAGAAAAAACGTAGGATGATGGGGCAAAGTGCATACGTTCGCGCATTGGCCGTCCGAATTTGGAGTCGGACCAGGTTTGGCTCAGCGCGAAGGCAGGGAAATAGCTGAGCGCGGAGACAAAGAAACAACAAGCAAGCAGCCGTCTGCACTTGGCGTCGGGCTTTGCAGTGCCAGGCAAGCGGCAGAGGGATCTGGGCAACAAAGATGCCGCGCGCACTGGGCATCGGGCCAGACAGATTACGGGCCGTCACTCTTCCTCCTGGCAGCGTTATGCCGCATCCCCCAGCAAGTAGGACGGCTCTCGCCACCGTCGAGACCTCAGACGCCGCGAAGCGTCGAAGAGCGCGTTCCAATGACACTGCCGGACTTCGCTGTCGAAAGCCAGCGAGGCGGCGGGCACGCCGGCAACATGCCCGCCATCCGAGTGGCGCGGGAGAACATCACGTAAAGGTTCAACCACCAAGTGTCATCGTTGATGCCTCGTCGCCCCTGAGGCGCCTGGCGCGCGAAGTCAATGGTCACTGCAGCGCGTATCGTCTGTCTTGCGAGGCAGTCGTCGCCAGGTAGTGCGCGTGCGAGAGCATGAAACCAAACCGATTCACGCTGTGCGCCACGGGCGGAACCTTCCAGGTGAAGGTCGTCTCCATCAGGGGCGTACGGAGGAGGCCGCGAGCAATCGTTTCATCTTTGCCCACGTAGTCCATGACATCGTTCCACGTGGGTGCCTCCGTGAAATCGTCGACCTGCAACCAGATGCCAGTGGGCGAGCGGTGCGGCCCGAAGAGCTCGCCAGGGCCCGCGCTGTTGTAGTTTATCTGGTCGCCCTCGTGGAACACGAAGTCGACGATCGCGGCCCGTTGCTCCTGGACCAAGCCATATTTGCCATTGAACTTGCCAGCGAAACGAACCCGCATCCCCACGTGGGCGGGCAACGCGCCGCGCATGCGGCCCGCGTTGCAAATATCGGCGACGTTCAGCATCTTGGAGTACGACGCCTTGTTTTTGATGGTCTGGCATTCGCCGGCAGCCTGCAGGAAAACCAACGGCACCTCGAGCGCGCGGGCGTCGCGCCGCGCGCGTTCGGTGATCCAGCGGGCCAAAGGTTCCCAGTGCATGGCCAAGCCGTTGCCCTCGAGGAGCTCTTTCTGCGCGCGTCGCAGGCCTAGCTCTGGGCTCGCGTCGGGGCGGCTGTCCTTCGCAAGCCGCGCCTCGAAGGCCCGCCAGACAGGGTCGGGAATCGATTTGCCCTGCCGCGTGAACTCTACGATGGGGGTCGCCCTTGACGAAGCGCTCCGTTCCTTGGAGCTCGATGACACAGGTGATCCTCTTGAAGACACTGCGGGCGTTCTGGATCTCAAACGATGACGGCCCCGAAAGCACGCAGTCGCCGTCCTCGTCTTTCTCGGTGGGATTCGGCACGAGGCTGAGCTGCGCAGTCGGTGTCAACTGCAAGAAATCGCCCAGGTGGGTGACGATCGGGCACCTACCAAAGCTGCACCCTTGCTTCTTATAGTTGCCCCCCGAGACAGTCCGACCACAAGGGGGAGAATGAACCTTGTCAAGTTCCCTCTCCCACGCCTGGAGAGTGAACCTTGTCAAGTTCCCTTTCCAGTTCGATCGCATGCGGGGAAGTGAACATTTGCAAGTTCCCATTTCCGCGACTGAAGGGTGAACCTTGGCTCGTTCCCCATCAGTCCGATCACGCGAGGGGGATTGAACCTTTTCAAGTTCCCTGTCCCTGCCTGGAGAGTAGACCTTTTTCAAGTTCCCTCTCCAGTTCGACCACAAGCGGGACTTTGAACCTTTCCAAGTTCCCTCTCCCGCAGGTAGAGAGTTAACTCATTTTTCCAAGTCCCTTCCCCAGCCCAAAACGCACGCGGGAGAATGAACCTTCCCAAGTGCCCTCTCCCGCTGACGACGACAAGATCTGGAACGCACCACGGAGAGAGAAAACAACATCCCACGGTGACGCAAGCCCTGCGCCAGCAACACCTGGTCATTCCTCCTTGACCCCCGTACGCAACGGGGAGAACCACTCGGGACACAACGCCCCCCCCCCCCTCAAAAAAAAAGGCAAACCGCTAGAGGCATCACCACAAAACGGCCGCGAACGGGACCGTGTCATACCCATTGGCGGCTCCCTTTCTAGGTAGCTGAATCCAGCGCCCCGCCTGCGACAGTCTCACAATCTGCTTACCAAGCGAAGGATGATGAGACAGAAGAAAACGCAAACCGCTGGAGACATCCCCACAAAAAAGGCCGCGAACGGGACCGTGTCATACGCATTGGCGGCTCCTTTTAGGGGTGTTGAAACCAGCGCCCCGCCTGAACCATCCTCACAATCTGCTCTCCAAACGAAGGATGTTGAGACAGAAAACATGCAAACCGTTTGAGACATCCCCACAAAACGGCCGCGAACGGGACCGTGTCATACCCCTTTGGCGGCTCTTTCTAGGGGTGTTGAAACCAGCGCCCCGCCTGAACCATCCCCACAATCTGCTCTCCAAACGAAGGATGTTGAGACAGAAATCAGGCAAACCGCTTGAGACATCCTGACAAAACGGCCGCGAAAGGGTCCGTGTCATACCCCTTGGCGGTTCCCCTCAGGGGTGCTGAAACCAGCGCCCCGCCGGAGACATCCTCACAATCGACTGTGCGTTGAGTAAGTCAGACGATGAGACGGTCTGAGTACGAGTAAGTCGGGGTATGAGTGAGTCTCAGCATGAGTAAGTCTGAGTCTGGGTAGGTTTGAGTATGAGCAGGTATGGGTATGAGTACGTTAATGTAATCAGGTCTGAGTATGAGTAAATATGTGTATTAGTAAGTATGTGTATGAGTAAGTCTAGGCATGAGGAGGAGGAGGAGAGGAGGAGGAGGAGGAAAAGAACAGGAAGGAGGAGGAGGAGGTGTCCAAAGTATAACAAGAATCCCATCTTAGGATATGGGGAAAACGCACACCCGGGGCGGAAGATCGGCCCCAAGGGTGTGGTGGGGACCCCCTGAGGCCACGCATTGAAAACGTCACATGGTCAGATGTCTAGGGCGCTGGGCGCCGCCAGTGGTACGGGGTTGGCTTACGTCGAGCGGCCTGCGCTGAAGGACAGCCGCGACGGTTCCATGTTGAGCGACCCGTGCGGTGTCAGAGACCGGCTCGGAGGAGAAACAGCGACCACGGCCACCGAAAATTCCCCCGATCGAAAGGACTATCAAGCCTGCTCGGATGCTGATGTGTTTTGTGTGCCAAGCGCAGGTAGCTTTCGCCCTCCAGAGGCTCTTCATCCGAAAAGGCACTGCACAGAAGCATCGGATGAAAGGTCGCTCGAAACAGCGACCACCGCCACCGAAAATTCTTCGGGCGGGACCCACCCCTGGGCGGTAGCACGCCTGAGCGTCGCCTGGCACTGGGTCACGCCTGGGCGTGCCATCGCCCAGGAGTCGGCCGCCCCCCGATGGTGTTTCGGCAGTCTCTGTTTCTCCTCCGACCGGCGCCGTCGTAATCACGGCGTGAACTTGCCGCAGGAAAGGAGATGAGGTGGTGCCAATGCGGTCGCGGGGGTGCGTGACGATCGGATCTCCAGCTGTCCGATTCGGATCAGGAGGCCGATTGGAAAAGGGGGTTCCCCAGAATCCCCTGTTGGAGATCTGCAGTCGTAGGCTGTGGCGGAGGTTGTGGGACGCGGTGTGGGGTTCAGTTGCATGGGTCTGCCACCCGCCTTCACCCTCGGCGTAGCGGACTGGTTGACAGGCCATTCACCTCCTTCGCCTCTTCGTCGTCCGCATCCTCCTCGACCTCCTGTCATTATGTTCGTTTTCCTCATCTTCAACCTCATTCCCCACCGCTTCATCCACCTTCTCAACCCCCTTGGTTGGCAAGCCCTATGGGCTCAAGCAGCTTGGACAGAATGCTATGTTTGACGATGTTGTATCCTGGCCATGTGACCCTCGCGCCGCTGCCCTGAATTCGCTGCTGACCCGACGCACGGCAGCAATGCGGTTCGTGGCGGCCACAGCAGTGCACTGCACTGTGAGTGGCAGCCGTGCTAGTTGCAAGAGTCGCTCATGGTGCAGGCGCTCGGGAAGGCGAGCGGATGGACGCTTCAGTCAGGGGTATCTTCCCAGACATCTACCATTCAGCGTCACGGGAAGACGGAGCAGTGGGTTGCGGCCCTGCTTCTTCTCCAGGAGGCATCTCGCGGGCATGTGGCAGTGGACCTTGCCGCCTACAACGCAGCCATCGTCGCATGCGGGAGAGGCAAGCAGTGGCGACAGGTTTTGTCATTGATCTGTAACCACGCGCAGTGGAAAGCGTGTCCAAGCGTCGTGAGCTACAATGCTGCCACCACCGCTCTCGGGAGAAACGGTGAATGGCAGCATGCCTTGCTGATGCTTGGCGAGATGCGGCAGTCGGCGCTCGAGCCCAACCTGATCGTGTGCAGCGCGGCAATCAGCGCGTGCGCGAAAGGCGCTCGGGGCAAAAACTCAATCCGGCTCCTGCTGCCCTGCTCTGGCCCCTCCGTTCCCCCATCTATCTCCTGCCCTCATCAGCTCTACAGTCGGGGCCTTGAAGAAGGAACGCTTTTCGTTGGGGAGGGGCTCGGTGTTCCTTGATTGGTTTACAGTTTGCCTCGGGGTTCCCTTAGGTTTTGTATGGGAAATCGAAGTTCAACTTGTGGAAAAGAGGGACCTTGTTCCTTATTTAGCGTTCCTTAGGTCAACGCCCCGACTGTACGAGCGCAAACTTTCGGAGCTCTGTGCGGACTTCTTCAAAATCCGCGCGGGACCCCAGCGGCGGCGCCTCCTGCGCCGCCCCCTGGCGCCCTCCGCGCGCCAATGCAGAGGGGCCCAGCGCCGATCCCAGGAAGCCCCTTGCGGGCTTTCACGAGCTGGTGCTGTGATGCTGCTGTCGTTACAGTCGGCCCGCGGAGGAAGGATAGGCAGCCCTCCCAAGGGTACTCCAGATTTCGTAATAAAGGGTGGGGGGTCTCATTTCGGGGGGGTGGGCCACTTCCAGGCTATCTTGGAGGGCCTGGGGGGTCTGGGGACGATGTTTTGGAGGGTTCTCCCACGGGGGAGGTCTGAAATGGCTTGTCTTGGAGGGTCCAGACCCCCTCCCTTTTATTACGAAATCTGGGGTACCCTTGCATCCTTGCTTCCTGGGTCCATCCTTGGACACTTTCGTTGGCCGCGCCCCGCTCGGGAAGCTTCGAAATGGGCGTCCAAGGCCCGTGCATCCTTATCGCGCATCCTTACTCTGCGGGTTGGCTGTATTGCTTCTTCTGCCCCCTCCTCTTAGGGCTGGCCACTGGGCGCAGGCAGTCAGAGGAGAAACATGGACCACCGCCACCGAGAACCCATCGGGGGGGAGGGGGTGGGCGAGCAGCCGGGCGGTGCATGCTTCAGGGGGGAACTATCGACACAGACACGAACAGGGGCTGCTGTCCATGGCACTGTGGGGAATCCTGGGAGATCGAGGGGAAGACGAAGACCCAGGAGATATGGGAACTTGGCATCGCTCGGACGTGTGCATTTTTCCTTCGGCGAGGGCCATCGAGGAGCATCCTTGATCATTTGGCGAAAAAAAAACACGCACGAAGCCGAACAAAAATACAGGGAATGGACGTCCGAGCGATGGCGAGGGACAGATGTCGAGTTCCTGCTATCTGCGCCGAGATGTTCCCTTGAGGGGAGGGGGGGGCGCTTATAGGAGACGGAGGAGGGCGGGGAGCTGCCCCCCCCCCCTCCCCGAGCGGCCAACGGCGCGCACGCGAAGCGCGCTCGGGGTGATCGGCGCGGCGTTGGCCGCAGCTCTGCCAGCGAGCCGCCCCCCCTTACCAGGGGGGCGCTGGGCACGCGGGAACGCGCTCAAATTGCAATTTTGGGCGCGCGGTCGCCAGAATGCGCGGAAACGCGCTCCAGTTGCGGCTGGCGCTAAATGCGCGAAATACGCTCCGCTGAATGCGTGGAAACACGCTCCCAGTGCAATTCCGGGCACGCACGTGCCAGGATGTGCGGCAACGCGCTTCGATTGCAAAAGTAGGCGCGCCGGCGCCAGAATGGAGATTCTACCCCGGCGATTCATTAAGTCGTCAATCTACAACCTTCAAATCCTGGTCACACAGCGAGTTCGTGGCCCAAGTTCGGTCCTCGGTAGTTCGGGCTACCCCTAAGTTAGCATGTTGGTGCTTTCGTTGGAGGGATTATCCCTCATGTTTTTGGCCCTCCTCACTGAGGTCCCCTCCCAAAGGATTACGGGTACTTCATTGCTGATCAGCTATGCCTTGCTAGGGCTCGACCTTGACGGTGTTATGGAGATCTTGTGGACCGTTTTCGTTTCGATTTCGTCTTGCAGCGAAGGCGGGAGGAGCAACGAACACAAAAGGAACATGGAGAACACAGCCTAGGTCCAGCCTTGTCCCCTGCTCCCCCATGCTCCCCTTTCCTCCTCCTACTCCTCTCCTGCCTGGGAGGCTCGAACAACAACAAACTGCGTAAGCACAATTTCTCGATCAGGTCCGCGCAGGTTTCTTAGATCGGCGCTAGGTCCCCCTGACGGCGCCTCCGCTGCCGCTCCCTTCGCCGGGGAGGGGAGTCCAGCGCTGATCCAAAAAAACGCCTTGCGGACCTCCGAGAAAGTATGTTTATGCAGTTTGTCGTCCCCCTGGGAGCGCGAGCAGGCGGCAGAGGAAGAGGGGGAGGCGGAGGCGCCGATCCCAAAAAAAAGGCCCGCGGACCTCCGAGGAAGTATGTTTATGCAGTCTGTCGCCCCCCGAGGAGCGCGAGCAGGCGGCGGAGGAAGAGGAGGAGGCGGAGGAGGAGGAGGAGGCGGAGGAGGAGGAGGAGGAGGAGGAAGAGGAGGGGGCGGAGGAGGAGGCGGAGACGGGGACGGAGGAGGACTGCGGTTGCCGCGGCGACGGCTGGCGGCGTCCGACGGCGGCCGGCGGCGGCGGCAGGCGCCGACGCGTAGGGCCTTGCGGGCACTCCGCGGAGGTGGGCGGTGGGAGCGGGCGCTGTCGCTGCTGGGCGACCTGCAGCGCGCGCGGGTGGAGGCAGACGTGAGGCCCCCTTGCCCCTTTTGGAGACACGAGCCAGGCGCTGGCGGGGAGTAGGGAGGGAGGGAGGGTGGAGGTTCGCGGTTCTCGGACGCTGTGTTTGTGGGTATGTTCGGCAGCTGGGGCCCCCACTGGTGATCTCAGGACTGTCACAAGACTATTCGGGACGGAGGATGGGTCCAGGGGAAGGGGTCTAGACTTCTGGGGGTCGACATTGTGACAGAAATCACGAGGTCGGAGATCTGGGGATGGCAAACGTCTGGCGTTTCGTTGGTTCTCGGCGGTTTTCCAGCCTCGGGATACTCTCCAGCAGCTGCGCTTCGCCGAGAGCCTTCCCGGGGTGCCCAGATCGTCCCACGCCGCCGCTGGTGAGCCGAGTTACGACCCGAAAACCAAGGGGCAGCGCTAGGTGCAGGAGGAGGAGGAGGAGGAGGACAGGGGGATGGGAGGAGGAGGGAGAGAGGGAGCGAGGAGGTGGGAGGAGAGGGGAGGGGGAGGAGGAGTAAGATGTGGACGAGGAGGAGAAGGAAGATGTGGACGAGGAGGAGAAGGAGGAGGCATGAAGGAAATAGAGGATGGGGGAGGGGGGATGGAGCAGGATCAGGATTCCTCCTCCTCCTCCTCATCCTTCACCTCTTCCTCTCCCATCGTGTCCTGCTTGCCCTCTTTCCCAGGGGGCAGAACGAGGGAGAGGAGGACTAGGAGGATGAGGACGAATTGGAGGAAACAAACATGAGGATGAGGGAGGATGGGGAGGGGAGCAGAGGAGGAAGGATGAGGAAGAGGCGGAGGGGGAAGATGAGGGAGGGCGGGCGGACGGGCGGACACAGGAGGAGGAGGAGGAGGGGGATGATAAGCAGGATGTGAGAGAACGCCCGCACCAACACCCCCCACCCCTGTACGCTGATGCGTTTAGATCCGGTTGCCAAGGAATGGTACTATGACACCCGCTGGGGGGCTGTGGCCAGCAAATGAGTCTGCAAGCAGGTGTGGCGAAAAGAGGGGCAGTCAGTGCTGGAGGAAAATGAGGAGCCCGCAGGGGCACAGCTCGCAGCCTCCCCCGCCCCTGCCTTCCCCCCCCATTACGTGCCGGGGACCTCCCAGGGACAGGCATGGCGCGCGAGCTCCCTTAGTGGAGCCAATCTCCTGCGGGCGTCAGAAGTTTCAGTGTGTGTTTGTGTGTGTGTGTGGCGTGTGTGCGTGTGTGCGTGTGTGTGTGTGTGCGTGTGTGTGTGTGTATGTGTGTGCGTGTGGGTGCGTGGTTGTGAGAGTGGGTGCGTGCGTGCGTGCGTGCGTGCGTGCGTGCGTGCGTGTGTGTGTGTGTTTGTGTGTGTGTGCGTTTGTGTGTGCGTGCGTGTGTGTGTGTGTGCGTGTGTGTGTGTGTGTGTGCTGTTTTGAACTCCAAGTGGTGGCGTCAGTGCCTGGCTGTTTCTAACATGGGCGATCATCGGGAGTTCAGAGAGAGGATCTGGAGGCAGGGGGCCCGCAGAATACAGGCTGCCCATCTTAGTAGGTCGACCCTGCCAGATCAAGGGTACCCGTGTGCCCTGTGTCTCGCGACGATTGCCTCCTACATTCCTATGGCAATGTGGCCCTCGGTAGGGTCTTCTGTCCTCTCGCGTGTCCTGAATCAAGTCCGACTGCATGAAAGGGCTACCAGATTGAGGCTGCATTGTGCAGGGCCGCCTCGCCTCAGGGATCCATCTTTGAAGTGCCGGTCGGTAAGCTGCAACGCCGCGATCAGCGCGTGCGGGAACAGCGGGCAGTGGCAGCAGTGCCTGCTGTTGCTCGAAGAGATGCCGCAGGCGTCGCTGGAGCCCGACGTTGTCAGCCACAATGCCGCGATCAGCGGGTGCGAGAAGGGCGAGCAATGGCCGCTCGCGCTCTCGTTGCTCCGTGAATTGTGCAGGCGGCGGCTAGAGCCAAGCACGATCAGCTACAGCGCAGCCATCAGCGCGTGCGAGAAAGGCGGGCAGTGGCTTCATGCAATGTCGCTGCTCGCGGAATTGGTGCAGGCGAAGCTTCAGCCGAACGTCGTCTGCGTCAGTGCTGCGATCAGCGCGTGCGAGAAGGGCAATCAGTGGCGGCATGCTCTATCGCTCCTCAGCGAGATGCGGCAGGCTCGGAGAAGGAAAAGGTATACACCGCTGCTCGTCCTGGAGAGCTCTCTTCACAACGGCTGGATTCTCCTCGAAACCCTGGTCAGAGCGCCGTCCCCCCGGAGAGGTCCGTGGAGTAGCGGTATGGGTACGTCTCTGCCCCCGCACAGGCGACGATCGAGCCCAATATAATCAGTTGCAGTGCCGCGATTGGCGCGTGCGGAAAAGGCGGCCTCTGGCAGCGCGCGGTATCGTTGCTCGGTGACCTGAGACAGTGGCGGTTATCGCCAGACGTCCTCTGTTACACTGCTGTCATCAGTTCGTGTGAGAAGGGCGGCGAGTGGCAGTGCGCATTATCATATCTTGGTGAGATGCGGCAGGCAACGTTGAAGCCAAACGTCGTCACCTACAACGCCGCGATTAGCGCGTGCGAAAAGGGTGACGAATGGGAACAAGCACTGTGGTTGCTCAGGGAGCTGTGCTATGCCAAGCTCGATGCAGACGTCATAAGCCAAAGTGCTGCCATGAGTGCGTGCGGCAAAGGTGGGCAGTGGCAGCATGCGCTATCTTTGCTCGGTGAGCTAAAACAGTTTACCCTCCGGCCAAATATCATCAGCTGCACTGCCGCCATAAGGGCATGCGCAACAGGCGCGCAGTGGCAGCGGGCACTGTCGTTGCTCAGAGGGTTATCAGATATGGCGCTTCAATCCGAGCTCTTTTGTTACAGTGCCGCAATCACTTCTTGTGAGAAGGCTTGGCAGTGGCAGCAGGCGATGTCTTTGCTCCGCGAATCGTGGCAGGTGGGTCTTGGGCTTGACGCCGTCGGCTGCAGTGCTGCCATAAGCGCGTGCGAGAAAGGCGGGCAGTGGCAGCAGGCCCTCTCACTGTTCGGTGAAATGTGGCAGGCAAGGCTTGAGATAAGCGAGATTAGTTATCATGCCGCAATGGTCGCATGCCAGAAGGGCGGCAAGTGGGAGCATGCCTTGTCATTGTTCATGAAGCAGCGGCAGGAAGGGTCTGAGCAGGGTTGCCCAAGCTACCTTGCCGCGATTCGCGCCTGCAACAAAGCTGCTGGGAAGTGGCAGGAGGCGTTGTCCTTATCTCACGAGATGCTGCGGGCAACTTTAGAGTTGGGCATTGTCATGTACAATGCTGCAATCTATGGCTGCCGTTGGGGTGGCCAGTGGCAGCAGGCGCTTTGGTTTCTCAGTGACTCTTGGCGGAGGGAGATGGAGCTGAACGTCGTCAGCTCGGGTGCAGCAATCAGCGCGTGTCACGCTGGGGGGGCTTGGCAGCATGCCTGCTCACTACTTCGCGAGGTGCAGCGCAAGACGCTAGAGCTGGACGTCGGTTGTTACATCAGTGCGATCCAAGCGTGCGAGAATAGTGCGCGGTGGCGGCATGCACTCTTACTGCTCGGTGAGGTGTGGCACGCAGCGCTGGAGCTAGACAAGACCAGCTCGGCTATCCTTCTCAGCTCTTGCGTCAGAGGCCTGGAGCACAAACGGGCACTGGTGATGCTAAGAGAGCTGTCCACAACATATCCATGGCCTGCGCAGCGCTGCCATACAGTAGCGGCGGGCAACGTCGTTGTGCAGCCGGTATTGTCGAGCAGCTCTAAAACCTGATGCCAGAGGCACACGTCTGAGGGGCCTGGCCAGAAATTCTGGCATGCTCCTCCTGCTCCTGCCTCTTCTCGGACGGTCCTATAATCGAGATAAATCCGTTCCAGAGCGTGCGTTTCAGAACGCCCTCAGAGCGTTCCAGAACGCTCTGAAGCGGCAGCGGCGCCCGATACATCCTCCAAACCCGTCGATTCTGATAGATTTCTCATTTATGTCGTTCCGAATTTGTCTCGATTCTGCCTTGTGCTCTCCCCTGCTCCTCTTCCCCCACCCCCCCGCCGATCCCTGCCCCTCTGTCTCCTTCCCTGCCCATCCTGGCCACTCCTCCTCCGTGTCGCGTGTCAGAGTCTTGACGCTTCCGCGCATCCAGCCCATCCAGGAGCGATGCTTGCGGGAGCTGCCCTGTATCGGGGGAGCGTGGCATCATTCGGCTACCTCGGGTGGCCTCAGTGAACTAGCGACCTCCTGGATGCCTCTCGGAGCCCCTCGGGATGTCTCCTGAGGAGCTCCTGGCGGCATCTTAGGGCGTCTCGGGGGTCCTCTTGGGAGCCTCTTGTGGGCCTCTGAGGCTCTTGAAAGCCTGAGAAGCCTTCTTTGGACCATCTTGGAGGACATCAATCAGAGAAGGAGGGTCTTTACTTAGGGTTGCCCCTCGAGAGCCCCTAAACTCGTCTCTCGGGGCTCTCTTCGGGCGCTCTTGAGGCGCTCTTTGAGCCCTCGGGTCCCTCTTCGGTCTCTCTTTGGCCCTCTTGAAGCCATCTAGAGGCATCGGAAGGCCATCGGAAGCGAACGGGCGAGAAGGCTGCAATCATTGATTCCCCCCAGATGTTGGAATGGTTTTGGCCTCTTCGGGGCGTCCTAGGGGGGCCCCAAGGCCACTCGGACCCGTCTCTGACTGGTCTTAGGACCTCTTAGAGCATGGTGGAAGCCGTCTTGAGCGGTCTTGCGCTAACATCTTGGGCCATCTCGGAGGTCACTTTGGGCTGCCTGATGCCATCTTGGCGCCATCTTGGGCTGTCTCGGGCCTCCAGCCGCTCGCGTGGCGCACCGACTAGACCCAGGGGTACGGGGTAGGGGGAGGGGTCAAGACTCCCTCCCCGTCCGCAAGCCGTCTCGCTCACTCCCACCCGCCCTCCCAACACATACGTAGCACCCGAGTCTGGCCCGAGCCTCAGCATATTCAGCAGTCGTCTTTGGATGGGCAGCTACTGGGGGCCAATCCGCCGCCGCCGCCGCCGCCGCCGCCGCCGCCGCCGGCCGCCGCCGCCGCCGCCGCCGCCGCCGCCGCCGCCGCCGCGCCGCCGCCGCCGCCGCTGCCCGCCGCCGTCGCCGCCGCCCCGCTGCCGCGCCGCCGCCGCCACCGCCGCCGCCGCCCTCGCTGCCAAATCGCCGCCGTCGCAGCCGCTGCCGCCGCAGCCGCCACCGCCACCGCGCCGCCGTCGCCGCCGCCACAGCCGCCGCCGCCGCCGCCGCGCCGCCGCCGCCGCCGCCGCCCCGCCGCCGCCGCCACCGCCGCCGCCGCCGCCGCCGCCGCCGCCGCCGCCGCCGCCAAGTGTATTCTGCATTGTGTTTTGACAGGGATGGTGGGGGGAGGCCGCATCGGGTTCGCTGCGCATTCGCCGAATTTGGAGGCAGAGTGTGTTTTGTATGGTTTTTACAAGTGATGGTGGGGGGGTGACCTCATGGTTCCTGGTTGGCTACCAGTCGCCTGGGGGAGGGGGTGTTTATGCCCACCCGGCGAGGAGGAGGGGGTTTTGAAGAGTCGGCACGGACGAAATGGATACGGAAATAAAGAATGGGTCCAACAGCAGTTACTGCGCATTGTGAACAGGACTCGGTGCTGGTTGTAGACAACATCGGCGGTTGGGCATCGTATCTATCTTGTACGTACCCCTTGCGGGCGTCCGAAAAGAGGAAACGCTCTAAACCACTGCGCCCTAGAGGGATGGTGGGATCGGGGTCCCTAGCAGGTGCCTCGGGCTGGATGGGAGTTCGTCGTTATTTGTTCTTCGTAGTTCTCGAGGTCGCTGAGACGGGAGCGAAACGAGACGGGATTTCGGTGATTGGCAGACGTTCCTCTTCCAGTTGGACAGGATTCGTTATCTTTTGCGTGTCCCGCCCACCTCGTGTTGCGCGTCCAGCATCCGCCGAGGCGAAGCCCGACGAGGTCCGGAGAACGCTGGAGATGAAGAAGTGGAGAGGCTCGGATGGGCCTCGAAGCGGGTCACCAAGGGGGGGGATGACTAAAGGGGTGTAGATCGGCGTCACTCCAAAATACTTCTACTATATGTGCGTCGCCCCCCAGGGGCGACGCGCGCATAGGTGGGCGCTTATAGCATATAGTATATGCGTCGTGGTGGGCGCTTTCTGGCCACACCGCTGGGGAAACGATATACTACAAGATGGGTATACTATATGTTCGGGTCGGCCGCGCGCCTCCAAGGCGGACGTATAGTACTAGTATGTCTCTGCGCGTCCCAGTACAGTCGCCCCGCAGAGTAAGGATAGGCAGCCCTCCCAAGGGTACCCTTGCATCCTTGCCTCCTGGGTCCATCCTTTCGCTGGCCGCGCCCCGCTCGGGAAGCTTCGAAGTGGGCGTCCAAGGGCCTGCCATCCTTATCGTGCATCCTTACTCTGCGGGTTCACTGTAGTATGTCTCTGTGCGTCCCAGTAGACATCATGTTCGGATGCAACTCCTGGGAGGTCAAATTATGATTTTGCCCTGGTCCGAAGTCCAGCTTAATCCCGCTTGGTCCCGCTCAATCCCGCTCAGTCCCGCTCAATCCCGCTTTATCCCGCTCAAGCCGAGGCCCACTCCCGCGCAACAACAGCCCCGCGATGGGGCTCCATCCGCCCTAATCTGTCCGACGAAGACCTCCCAGCAGATGTCACCACCCACCAAACCACCCCAACCCAACCCGAAGGCTCAGATTTACCCTCGATTTCCAGTGGGAGGGGTCGGGAAACATCGAAAAAACACATGTGGAACCCTTACCCCCCCCACCCGAAATTCGGGTCTTCGGGTTGGGTTGGGGTGGTCTGGTAGGTATTCAAGATGCTTCCTAAATCGTGGCCGGAGCCAAATCCGCCCTAATCTGTCCGGTCCGCCCTAATCTGTCCGCCCTAATCTGTCCGACGAATTTGTCCCAAATCGTGGCCAGGGCCAAGTCCGCCCAAATCCGCCCAAATCAGCACCAACCACAGCATTTTGCTTCGACCGGTACTTCTGAGGCTGCGCCCCCCTTTTCCTCCCCCTTCTCTGTTTAATTCAAGCTTCGCGCGGCCCGCTTAGCTTCGACTGGAAGAGGTGCGCTCTCGACCCGCGAATCAAAAAAAACTATCCCAGCAGATGCTTCCTAAGTCGTGGCCGGGGCCACGGTGCCTCCCCGGAGGCCGTGGCTCCCCTCCTCGTGCCGGGGCGCCCCTCGGGCCCCGCGCCGGAGGTGCGGACGCGCGGAGGCCCGGACGGGCCACCGCCAGGGTCGGGTCGGGCCTGTCCCCCCCCTCTATAAAAGGAATGATCAAAAATAGCAAAAAATAGCCAAACAGATTCACGAATAGGCAAAACATAATCAATCATCAGTTGCAACATAGGCACAAAAGAGTCAACAAATAGCAAAAAAAGAAAGAATCGAATATTAAAAAAGAGCCAGAACATGATCAATTAAATAGTCTCTGGGGACCATTTAATATGCAAAAAGAGTCAAATTGTGATATGATATGATATATATGTATATATATATATATATATGTGTGTGTGTGTCTGGGGACCATTTTCTGGGGGCATGGTTTGATCCTTTGGGGGTATGTGTTGAGTGTTTTTTGTTTTTCGTCGGAGATCCCCCTGTAGGGAAACACGCCCGACTGAACACCAGGGGGGTCACCCCAGACCGCTTCGAAGCCCGCGTTCCGGCTCCAGGGTACCTGACGCTGTGGCGTCCAAATTCTGCACAAACCATTGCGCTGGTCTATTATGCTGTGCGCTTCTTAGAAATTCGGGCCGGACGAAAGGGGGGGATTGGGAAAGGGGGGGTTGCGGAATTTGCTGCATGCAGCTGGTTTCGGCCCCACCGAGGGGCCCATTCCTCGATACATGGCTGCCTCCGGCGCCGGGAGGCGCCGGGAAAATCAGCTACGTGAGCTGATTCTCACCCCCCCCCTTTGCTATCCCCCCCTTTCGCCCGACCCGGTAGCGGTGGAATAGCGCTTGCGGGATCTTAGCTTCTAAGGACAATCCCCTCCCTCGAGGGCTGGGGGTGAAGAAGCTCGGCGGGCCACCACCTGGGGGGGGGTCACCCCAGGCCCCTTCGAGGCGCGGGAAAAAACACGATGCGAAGTTTTGGCAGTTTTCGGCCTCTGGGGGCCCTCGCCAGGCACCAGGGTCGTCAATGGAACAGCCCGGGCTGGAAAACCCGTCGCGGGGAAGAGGTCCAGACCTCCTCGGACGGGCCCTTGAATCGAGATAAATCTAGAATCGAGATGAATCCGTTCTAGAGCGTTCTGGAACGCTCTCAGAGCGTTCCAGAACGCTCTGGAACGGCCGCGGCGCCTGATGCATCCTCCAAGCCCGCCGATTCTCAGAGATTTCGTATCGGTCTCCGATTTTGTCTCGATGTTGCTTTCGTTTTAGAGGCGTCGCCGGCCCGCTTTCGTCTCCATCCAGTTGGCAACGCGCAGAGGGAGGTAGGGGAATGGGAAGGGCCCCTCAAAAGCATCTGTGTTTCTTAGACGGCGGGGCCTTGTCTAGTTATAGATGCAGGGCCGCTGCCTTCTAATCAGCAGCCTCCTGCTAAGAAGCCTCCCCACCTCCCCCGTACCTCCTTGTGCGGGTTGCCCACTCCAATCGGGCGTTGCGCACTGGGGAGGCGGCCAATCCTTGGCCACTTTCGCTGGCCGCGCCCCGCTCGAAAAGTTCGGGGACCCCCAAACGGTGTGGTAATCACACCGTGCGGTGAGTCGGTGGGGATCCCGGGTCACCGCACGGTTTTGGGACTCGAGTCTTTCTCCGAGGATGTCTCGGGCGACGGGATCAAGAGAATCAAACGAAGAAGAAGGCGAAGAAGGGGGACAGAAGCACACAGAGGGAGAGGGGAGGGAGAGATGAGCGCAACCCTTCTGGTTGTCCGGCGGGCGCCCGGAGCTGACGGAGAGACCGCGCGCGCTATGCCAACGGCACAAGAGAGGGAAGAGAGGAGGCAACGGGGAGCGGGTGGTAATGGGGGGTGTGACCCACATGGTGTGGGGGGGAGAAACAGGCCTTAAACGGGCTCTTTAGGGCTCCTGTTTGGTGCCAGCTGGCTCCAAAAGGGGCCCTAACAAGACCCTTTTTAGAACATGTTCCTTCACCCCCCATAACCACCCGCCCGATCCCTTCAGCGGCTATTGCAGAAGTCTGACCATGGGGAGCGCCCAAATGCTCGGTTCACCACACTGGTGAGCGCGAAGAGGTGGTCTAGGGGTGACTCCTCCAGAAATTTAATACAGGCCTGGTCCTCGTCCTTGGTATCGCTCGGACGTGTGCACTTGTTCTCGGCGGGGGATATTAAGGAGCATCCTGGATCATCCTGCGAAAAAATCACGCACGAAACCAAAAAAACACAGGGAGTGGACGTCCGAACGATGGCCAGCGTCGGGTGTGGGGTCGCTTGCGCTGCTGACGGCTGCGGGCTGAGCAGAGACGCCGGAGGACGCGCTTTCGACTAGACCCTCCTTTGCGCCTGGCCGCGGTGGGCGTGGGAACATGGAGGGAACGGTGGAGTCTTCTGTGGGCGTTTCTGTCCAACTCAACAGTTCGACTCAGAGGCGATTCAAGTCGACGGACGTTCGACGCAGCATCGACGCATGAGTGGAGCGAGTGGCTCCAGGAAGGCCCCAGGGCGAGCATCTCACCCTAATTGAGCAGGGGCGAGCGAGCGGTCTCCTCCTTCCTCCCTCCCCCCACATCCTGAAGTCTTGCTGATTGCTCCCGCCTCCCCACCTTCTGCTCTTTCTTGGCTCTCCTCACAATCGCCATCTGCAGTCCAACCAATAGTTGTTTCGTTATCTTTTTATGTTTTTCTCTCTCTCTCTCTCTCTCGCTCTCTCTCTCTCTCTCTCTCTATCTCTCTTTTTCTTCATAGTATATGTATATCCCTCTCTGTCTCGTGCTCTTCCTCTATGCATGTATTTCTTTATATATAGATCTCGATCCCTCTCTCATTATCCTTCCCTCTCCCTCCCTCTCCCTCTCTCTCTCTCTCTCTCTCTCCCCCTGCGATGTATGCTATGCCCCCATGCCAGGCAGTGAGTACAAGATGTTCCCCATGCTGCTTTTTTCTTTCCGTAGCGAACAAGCAGAAAGAAGAGGCCTTGGAAGTGGAGGGGGAGCACGGGGGGGCATGAGGGGCGCACGGAGGGCAGGAGGGAGCAGGCAGGACCAGGAGACGTCAATACCCATCGGTTGTTGAAAGTACGTAATTTTGGAATCCCAGATTCCAATAGACTTTATGCGCCTTCCCACTTCAATGATCGAGTGGCTTCGCCGTTTCCGTCCTCTTCAGGGGGCGGGCGGACATCCAATCTATTTCCAACGCTGTCCTACTTTATGTTTCTACCTACTTCTTCCGACCGATGGGTACTAAAGCGTGAGTGAATTGAGAGCAGGAGGTGAGAAGGAAGATCAACAGCGTGTTTAAGTAGCAGATAGATCAGGAGGAGGACGATGATGAGGCGGAGGAGGAGGAGGGGGAGGAGAAGCCATGGGAGAGAATGAGGAGGCCTGTGAAGGAGGAGCAGGATGAGATTCTGAAGAGAAGACGTGGTGGAGGAGGGGGAGGAGGTGGAGGACAACGTCAGAAGAGCATGGATGACAAGGAGGAGAAGGAGGGAAGCAACAAGTAGTGAAAGCAGTCAAGGAGTAGTACCCATGGCGAGGAGGAACAGGGGAAGGACGGGAAGGACATCGACAAGGACGAGGACGAGGAGCAGACAAACAGCGTGGAGAGCACCCTTCCATCTAGGAGGCCTCTATACATATATATATATGTGTGTATATATATGTATGTATATATAGATGGATTGTGTATCGTAAGGGGCTGTTCTTCTTTTTTGTTGGTCCCCGGGACCCTCGCGGCCCGACCCGGGTCGACCTTTGTGGTGCCCGGGGCTTTGGGCAAGGTTTTTGTTCGTTGCGATGTTTTCGTTCACGTCGGAGCTCCGGGAACGGTCCAGCCGAGGCGTGGAGTTCTAGATCCATACCGGCCGCTTGTGGGATCGATATTTGGGGACCTCGGCGGGCGGTGATACATTCGGGCCCTGGGGGGCCAAGCATTTTTGCGAGGCAAGGGATTCCCAGAAGGAGCCTCAAGTGATTCGAACATGTGGCGGCTATTTTGTTGGCACGTCCTCTGCGGCGGCCTGCGGCTGTAACCGCCTGGCCGGCCGCAAGGATGTGGGTCGAGCTAGCTCGTCTGGCCCTGGGGGTGGCCAAATGCATGCATATCCGTCGCCTGCCAAGGTCTCTGGAGATCGATCTCACAGGCGGTGGCCATGATCGGCGGCGGGCGGAAGGGCCGAAATGAGAAGGAAAAGGCCTTCTCAGAAGGCGGCGGGACTCAGAAGCCCTCGCGCCTCCTGACGAGTGAGCGGCGTCTTCGGCAAAGGCTCAGGAGACTTCTCAGAAGGCCAGGGGGGACGTCCGCGCCTTCTGAGAAGGCCCGCCCCCTTCTCATTTCGAAGAGGCTAAAAACATGGAGTTTCCTCAGGTCTTGCAAGGCTTCTCGTATTTGCTCCTTTTCGGCTTTCCGACGGCCCAAGACGGCCCAAGAGGCTCCCAAGACCGCCCCCAGAGCGCCCCACGTGGCAGCTTGCACGGGCTCGCGCGGGGACCCCGTTTCGACATTATCGGAAGCTGGCGCATATACCTTACCAGTGGCGGGCTGTTTTTTTCAATCCCAAGACTTTTTGAGGGTCGGGGACGCCGTCGGGGTGGTGTGGTGTATACTTTTCCCCTCTTTCCAAGGGAAACAACGAAACATGTATACACCAGGATGCCGTATACACCTGGATCCGCGTTCCTGTGCAAATTTCGGCGCAGGGTCGGAAAAAGCGTCTGTGTATGGAGTTCGTTTCCCTACATCACCTTCTCTGCTCGGTGCGCGAGCCGTGGTGTATTTCGGAGGCAGAACGTGCACCTGTGCCGGTGGCATTCCCTCGATTTCCGCGCTTGGGGGCCATCTTTGGGAGGCCTGCGTCGCCGCCGCTGGATTCGCCTGGGAATGCTGGTCAGAGCGCGCCCGAGGCGAGGTCCGGGGAGCACCAGTTTACCAGTTTGAAACATGTCCCCATCCCTATGTTTGACGTCACCTCACCTCGATGCCAATCTTAAGGATTCCCTCAGTTTCTGAGGGCCTCTCCCTAAGATTGTCCTCGCTTTTTCCTCGCCCATCTTAGGGATCGGGATACGTTCGAGGCTGGTTACCGGTATCGGTGCCCGTTGGTTTCCCCGGTGCCGAGCGCTGGTCGCGCGGGCCACACGGCGTGGCACGGCGCAGAGTGGGGGTGCCCCGAGCGGCGAGCCCCGGAGGAAGGTTGGGGGAGAGGGGGGGGGAGGCAGGAGAAAAGAGGTCGATCTCACCCCCCAACCTCCGATGCCTGTCGTGGCCCCCGCTCGTTCGTGCCCGTCGTGGCCCGTTATGCATGCCCTTCGTGGCCCCTTTGTCGCCCTTTTTGGCCCCATCGCTGTTTCGTGGCCCCGCTGTCGCCCTTCGTGGCCCCCTTCCTGCCCTTCGTGACCCCGCTGTCGCTCTCGTTTTCGCTTTCGCTCGTCGTTCTCGTCGTCGCCGCCGCCGCCGCCGCCGTCGTCGTCGTCGTCGTCGTCGTCGTCGTGGTCGGTCTCCTGTCCGTCCCTCTTGGGGTCGGGTTGCCGCCGATCAGCGCTGCCGCTGGCCAGGCCGACGGTCCGCGACCGCCCCGCCGCTTGCCGGGGCCCGGCCTGCAGAGAAGAAAGGTATACCTGGGATACGATCGAAACGAAAAGGGCTGGTATCGAGGGTTTGGGAAATACGCGTTTGATGACACTCGAGCACATAAGAGCGAACAGTCATAACACGATTGTTGTTATTGTTGTTGTTGTTGTTATTGTTGAAGTGATCCATTCGGGACTTGTTCTTTTTCGCCAGGAAAGGTATTGGGGCTCAGACCTGCGCTGTGGACCCCGAACTTAAACAACGGCTCCCGCTCTATATGTTCTCCCATTTGATTCAAGACCGCGCTTTCGCGCGGGAGGTCCTCACACTGTATAGAGGATTCGCGCTCTCGCGGGAACTCCCTCCCAATTTATTGCGACGCCACGCCCTCGACACTTAGGAATTACGCTCTCGCCATGACCTTCCTCATAGTTTACTTGGGGATCGCGCCCGCCGTCGACCCACCCGCGCCTCACCTGCATTGCACTGACGAAGCATCGGCACCTGCCGGACTTCTTCAGAGCAGACTGCCAGGGCTTCGGTATTTATATCGTGTGTGCACCGGCCCCCTCCCTTGCCGACGCGCGCGCTTTCTGGCCATACCTCCAAACGGATGACATAGGTTTCGACGTTTGTGCAACATGTTTGGTGAGGACGTCCGGCCCCAAGGAGGGCGCACAGTTTGAATCACCGAAACATGAACATCATTTTGTTGGAACTCCGCGCGGGTTTCCTGGAGCGGCGCTGGACACCGCCGGCGGCGCCTCCAGCGCCGATCCAAGAGATCCGTGTGGAGTTCCGAGCAATTTGAGAGCTCTCTTGTTCCCTGGGCGATAGCGGGCTTGACCGGGGGAGAGAGGGAGACGGGGGCCGGTCACGTCACGATTCGCGCCAACGCCGTCTGCGCTTGCCGAAAAAGGCTCGCTCCCAGACGGCGTCAGCGCGAATCGTGATGTGACCCAGGGTGGAGGGGGGGCGGGCTCCGGCCACGTCCGTTATCGCGAACAATAAATGAAGAACGGGCTCCTATGCTCTATGCCGTTGTTCCTGTATCCTACAAGTGTCAGGGTGCCCTTCTGCGTCCCATCGTTGGGAGCACCCCAGACCCCCGACGTCAGGATTTGTCATGACGTCGACCCCCAGAGGTCTGGACCCATTCCTGGGGATTTTTTTTTCGTCCCGAGTCGTTTTGTGCTGGTCCGGGGGGGCCCTTCATGGCCCTTGGAGGCCGGAAATAACCAAACACCTTCCGCAGTGATTTTGTTCATGGCCCGAAGGGGTCTTGGCCAGACTGGGCTAGGACGAGGATCGATCCGCTCTGAGAAGGCCGCGGCGCCCGACACATCTTCCAGAGCCGCCGGACCTCAGAGGTTCTCGATGTATCTTTCCCCGATGTCATCCTCGTCCTGGCTTCGTCTTACCAGGACGGGTGCCTGGGCCCCCCGAGGGTCGGGCCGGACGAAAGGGGGGGATAGGGAAAGGGGGGGGGCGAAATTTGCCGCATGCAGCCGGTTTCGGCCCCGCCGAGGGGCGCCCATTCCTCGATACATGGCCGCCTCCGGCGCCAGGAGGCGCCAGGAAAATCAGCTACGTGAGCTGATTCTCAAAACCCCCCCCTTTGCTATCCCCCCCTTTCGCCCAGACCGAGCTTCGTCTTGCCAGGACGGTTGCCTGGGACCCCCGAGGGTCGATGAGACGTAAGAGTGACCTTTCGCCGGAGTGACCTCGGGTGCGGGCACAGAGGGGCCCCCAGATGGCGGAATGCGAAGCGGTCGCGGCGGCTTGCGCGCGCAGGTTTGGCCACCCCGCGAACCCCGTTAAGCCGCGCACCAAAGGTCACTCGTGCCGGAAAAGGAACCGAAAAAGCAGCAGGAGGAGGAGGAGGAGGAGGAGACGGAGGAGGAGGAGAAGGGGGAGGAGGAGAAGGAGGAGGAGGAGAAGGAGGAGGAGGAGGAGGAGGAGTAGGCGGAGGAGGAGGAGGAGGAGGAGGTCACTCTTGCCCAGGGTCGCTCTTGCGTGCAGCCGAGAGGGGCCTGGCTCGGGGGGCGGCGTGCCCTGCGCGTCGGGCACCAGGCCGACCGGGGCCGACGGAGAGGCTCTCGGCCCCTCTCGGGGGCGGAGCCCGCGGCCTCCGCCGCCCAGCACGGGGTGCGCGCGTCGGGGGCGGCCAGACGGGGGGTGGTGGTGGCCAGGGTTAGGTTTAAGTCGGGCCCGTCCCTCTACTGGGGATTTTCGACGAAAAATAGAAAATACCCACAAAAGGGGAAAACATACCCAAACAATGGTCCCTAGACTATTTTTGGATTAGTTTTGGATTATGTTTGGGCTATTTTTATTTTTCGTCGAAAATCCCCCTGTAGGGGGACAGGCCCGACTTAAGGTTAAGTCGGGCTTGTCCCTCTACAGGTTAAGTCTGTAGAGTTCGATTTGTTTTACCATTTGTGGGCTTTTTGGGTTGTTTTTTTTGGGCTCGTCCAGAATCGGCCTGTAGGGGGACAGGCCCGACCAAAGGGTAGGGGCGTGCGGCGAGCGAGGGGGGGAAGCGAGGAGGAGAAGGCCTCCTCAGAGGGCGGCGGGGCTTCTCAGAAGGCCTCCGGCCTTCTGCGAGGTCCGCTGTGCCTTCGGAGAGGGTTCAGACAATTCCTTCAGAAGGCACGGGGTCTTTCGCGAAGGCCCGCACCTTCTCACTTCCCCCCCAGGCTCGCCGCCGAATCATGGCCGGGGCCATGACATCTCCACGGATTCGGGAGCCTTGAGACGGGGTCAGTGCAAGCAGGGGTCAGCCAGAGCGCCAGATCTTGCAGGATGCTGCAGGGCCAGGGGTGCACTGACCCTGTGAAGCGTGCAGGTTCTTGCAGGATCCCACAAGGCCAGACTGACCCTGGTTTGGACTGACCCGGGTCAGTAGATCCCCGACGGATCTCGTGGCACCCTTTTCTTCCAATGCGTTCTGTGGTTCCCCCCTCGGGCCATGATTTGCAACCCCCCTCCTCTTGGATGCCCCTTCTTGGACGCCTCCGAAGGTGGTAAGTTGTGACCGAGTTGGTCGTTATGGTAAGTTTGACCTTAATATTAGTCTTGGCATGCGCAAGACATCCCCCAGGCTACCCCCCAGGCTATCCTCCGAAGGTGGTAAGTTGTGACCGATTTGGCCGTCATGGGACGCCACATCGACCTCAACCAGTCTTGGCAATGCGTAAGACATCCCCCAGGCTATCTTCGATGTGGTTTGGGCTGCTTGCTGTCCCCGCAGATAAGCTGGGAGCCCCACCCTGGCGGCGCCGATCCGGCACCGACCTGGCACGAAGAGAGCAGCAGAAGGATGTGGTCTAGATCGGGGGCGGAAAAGAGGGGGGTGATGACTAGGGGGGGTGGATTTCATGGCGCGGGCCATGATTTTTCCTCAGATTTCATGTTGCCTCTTCTTATTTCATTACGTCCCTGGCCCCCCCGCTGGGCCGCGCACATGCCGCTGGTCATGATTTGCACCCCCCCCCTCTTGGACACCCCCCTCTTGGCCGCTCCCGATTAGAGCTCAGGTCGTTTTTTTTTATATGTTGTTGCATTTTTCCGCAACGTAGGGCTTCGGGAAAGGAGTAGGAAGCAGGAGGACGTTTGGATGTCCTTGGCTGGGACGACGCTCGGAGGTTTGACCGCCCCAGGGAGCCGTGGCAGGATGACGTGTGTGCGGAGGAGGGCTCAAGGACGACGACGACGACGACGACGACGACGACGACGACGACTTGAGCACGACGACTGCGACGAGGCGGGCGGCGAGGAAGGCGACGATGACGAGGGCGCCGCCGACGACGACAGCGCCGGCGCCGGCGGCGACGACGGCGGAGGCGACGGCGGCCGCGGCCGCGCGGCGCGTCACGCCCGGGCCGCGCCCTGCGGCCGCCGGCCACGAGCCGCGCTCGCCCGCGCGCGCCGCCGCCGCGAGCCGCGGTGCCGCCCGGAGGTACGACGCCCTGCACAGGACGGCGCCGCTGGGTGGCCCGGAGGGCAAGGGCGGCCTCCGAGCATGTTCTTTGGGTGGAGGGCAAAGGGTGAAATCTGACATGCCGTGTCGATGGATGTTCGAGGCTTGAATCCGCAAAAGGTGAATCACAAGACGGATTGGTGTTCGAGGTGCAAAAGCCCATCTGGATTTCACCCTCAGCAACCTCCCTCAGCAACCTCGGTCGGTGACAAGATCCAGTATGAAGACCTGGATGCACAAAAGGGATCTGCCAAACCTTGGCCCGAGCAGGGTCCCAGCGGCATTTTCGCATCGCCTTGCGGAGAGACGACGTCGCTGGGGCCCGCAAGACATTGGCCGCGCGCCGTGAGGGCCTCCCATTTGCGGCCACCCTCGCGCAGGAGTCGGCAATGAGAGGGCAAGCGTCGCATCGCTTCTCGTGCCCGTTTGGGGCGTTCTCTAGCGTGCGCTCGTGGCGCTTGGTTGGCGGCGTTCCAGCGAACGTTCCCAGTGTTGTTTGGGGTCGTGCACCCTCGGTTCGCTGATGACTTTTTCGGCGCCGACCGAAGCAGCGATGCGCATTCTGCCGATGGCCCTGACGGCCCAACTGGCGCCGCGGACACGGCCAGGTTTGTCGCCCAGAATATATTAGGCTGGGAGCTTGACGAAAGCCAGGCTGTCACCGACGGGCAAAAAAAACACCGCGCTCGGAACTGCTGCGTCTTTCAGCGAGTGCTTTGACGAAGCACGTTCCGAAGTTTCCCAGGACTTGCGCGAGCAATGGCCTCACGACATGATGTCTGTTCTCGAAGCAGGGAGGGCTGTCCCCGACGGCAGCCCATAAGCTTGCTGGAAAGCTGAGCTGGGGCCGCGCGCTGCGCGTGCATATTCCATGGCAGCGCGCGCGTCGCGTTGGAGGGCAAGCCCTCTGTCCGGGCGCGCGCGTCGCGCGCTCGGGCGGTGGCTGCGACTGCTGGCGCGAGCGCCGCGCCAACCACTTCTCCAGCGCGGAGGTGGAGGTGCCCCGGCGCCCGGCCCGCCGCGCCGCGGGCGCGGCGGCGGAGGCCAGGCACGCCCGTGGGGCGGCACAGGAGCCGGAGGGCGCCGCGGCCCCGAGCTGGCGCAGGAACTCCGTGCAGATCGCGCCGTCGGCGCCGAGCTCGGACAGCGGGGACGGCGGGGCGGCGTCCTCGACCCGGCGCCCCCTGCCGGTGCGCAGGCACGCCTTCCAGGCGCGCAGCACCACTCGCTCCAGCAGCCCCGGCGGGGCTGGTCCCAGCCCCCTGGCGCTCCTCAGGACGCCGCGCCAATGCCGTAGCGCCGCCAGCAGTACGCGTCCCGTTGCAGCCTCGGCAGCTGCCGCGGCTGATTTTATATTACTGATGTCACTGGCGCTTCCCCGGTCGCGGGGTTGCAGTTTTTCGCGCCCGCGCGGGCATCCGCTCGGGCGGCGACCCCGCGGCGCATGAGGGATTGGGCGCAGCCCGGCAAGGCGCAGACCAGCGCGTGGGAGCTGCTTGCCGCTGCGCGCGGCTTAGGGCAGATCTGCCACCCAATTCGCGGACGCTGAGATTCTGCAGCTCGCCGATTCTGCAGTCGCGCTCGGGGCGATTCCGCGAGGCTGCTCCAGGCAAGCTGATGGGAATGGGCTGGTGTCCGAAATTGGGTTCGCGGCAGTGGGCCAAGGCCGCGTTTTTTCGGCCTGGAGGGGTCCATCGAAACAGAGTCTGACCGATGGCCCGTCCCGGGGATGCGGCGATGCTGGCGCCGCGGGAGAATTATTGGGGCGCGGGTTCCAAGAGTCAAGCAGTGGCGAAGCTTCCTGGCTCGCCTATAGCCCTACCAAACAATGTTCTAAGAACCTTTTTGTGGTTTCCACGACATGTTCTTAGAACCTTTCTGGTTGATATTGTCTTGTTCTAACACATCGGGTTTATGTCCTAAGAACATTGTTTTTGTTCTTAGAACATTTCTGGGATCTAAGAACATGTCGTGGTAGGACTATAGGAATGCCGGGACGGTCGGTCCCTGCTCAAAAGAGCTCGCACGACAGTGCCGGGTCGCCGCGTCGCGGAGCAGTTAGTGCATGAAGTCCGCCGAGGCAAAACATTGGAAAGTAAATGAATCGTCCGTTGCCGTCGTGCTCTTGCGCCAGGGCGTCTCGTTTTCGGGCCGACGCTGTCAAAGGGGGTCGGTTGGGGGATCGGCGCCCCTCCCTCTCCTCCTCGCTCTTCCTCCCCCCGCCCATTCCCCAGGCGGGGCGAGGGGGCTGCCTGTCGGCGTCGGGGCCCGAGGCATCTCAGGCGCCGGCGGCAAGTCAAGCCCCTGCGATTCGTAGGCCGCGACCCCCAGCGGGCGCACGGGCCCCCGTCGAATCTCCATCGTCGCCACTACCCCTTCTAATAATCCCCCGCAGCCGTTTCAGGTGCCAGGCAGTTCTGCGGAAGCTTCTCTGGCGGACCTGTGGCTATCAATGACCGAGCCGGCCCACGGCCCTAGCGGCTAGCGACAACGTCGATGCTGGCCGGGCGAGGCGGCTTGGACATGATTTGCAAGCGGTGCCGGTGGAGGCGCGGCCAGAGGACGTCGCCGAATTGGAATCCCCGCTGGCCCGGGAAGGGCCGACAGGGCGCGTCGATTTCGAGCGCGCTAGTCCAGTGGAGTCTCGTGGCGCGCGGCCGTGTTTGAGCTCGCGCGCCCCGCCGGCGCGGCCGAGCGGTCCTTGGCGCGGGGCGAGCAGCGCGCTGGGGCGCAGAAGGCTTCGACCCACGATCCTTTCGCAGTGGATATAGCGCGTTCTGGCACGGAGGCGTTCGCAGCGCTGGGATTGCTCGCCGCGGCCCCGGCCAACAACCAAGTGCCGCAACCTCGCGCGCTGGCGGACGCCACCCGCGCCGTCGCCCGCGCCCCTGCTGACCGAGTGCAGCTTCTGTCGCTCAGGAACCGTGGCCTCTCAGCAAAACGGCCCCGGGACCGCGTGGAGTCATGGAGGCCGCAGGACGCGCGGCGCGCCGAAATGCTGGCCCTGCGCGAGCTGGCATGGCGGGAGTTCAGAGTTGGCGCAAGAGCGGTCTGAAGCACGTGTCTCCTGTTCGACTGCGGGGGGCCATATCTGACTAGATGCAGGTCGACCCGTGGCCGCCGAGTGGCGGCGCGTTGGGCGGTTTGGCGATTGCTGTCCAGAACGGACCGACTTGTTTCGCAGTATTATGGGCAAGTGCGGTCTGTGCTGACGTTGGTAACGGCGGATCTGGGCAGCTTGTCAAACGCTGCTGGACTAGCGCACCTTGCTTGTCCTCTTCCCCCTCCTCCTCCTCCTCTTCCTCCTCCTCTTCCTCCTCCTCCTCCTCTTCCTCCTCCTCTTCCTCCTCCTCCTCTTCCGACTCCTCCTCCTCCTCCTCTTCCTCCTCCTCTTCCTCTTCCACCCATTCCATCCCCCCCTCCTCCTGCCCCTTCCCCCTTCCCCCCCAGCATGTTCCTCCCACTGCTGCTGCTGCTGCTGCTGCTGCTGCTGCTGCTGCTGCTGCTCCTCCTCCTCTTCCCCGTTCCTCCTCCTCCTCCTCCTCCTCCTCCTCCTCCTCCTATTCTTCGTCCTATTCACTGTTCCTCCCCCTCCTCATCGTCGTCCTCCTCCGCCACCCCCTCCTCCTCCTCCTCCTCCTCCTCCTCCTCCTCCTCCTCCTCCTCCTCCTCCTCCTCCTCCTCCCCATCATCACCATCATCACCATCCGCATCGTCATCCTTCTCGGATTTCTACTTCTGAACCCCGTCATCCCTTTTCCTAGGCCCCGCCGCGAACGAGGGCCGCTGCCGCCGTGACCCCCCGAAGGAAGTACCAGCAGCGGGAGCACAGGGCTGCCTTGCCGAGGGTCAAGCAGGCCAGGGGCGAGCGGTGGGAGGAGGGACGAGAAGGGAGGAGGGAGGACAGAGGAGGGAGGAGGAACGAGGGGGATGGGAGGAAGGAGGACGGAGGAGGGAGGAGGGAGGAGTGGAGGGAGAGGAGTACCAAGCGCGCTTTAGGCTCCAAGGGTGTCTAAGCCCATCTTCAAGGATGAGGCAGCCATCAACGAAATATTAGATATTGTACGACTGCGAGGAATTCAGAACCTAATAGTTGGCCGACCGCACGCCACATCCTCAAAGTCGGAGGTACTGCAGAAAGCTATCGGTCACCTGCTGACACCCGGGGTGGGTCCATGTACCCGTTTTTCTTGCAAGTCGTTGTGAAGGACGTATTCCATTCCACATAGATGTCGGCCATACCTCCGGACAGCATGCCAAATGCTTCGACTGGATTTGGGCAATCCGCCCACTCTGATCGAGCTGTTTGGGGCCCTGCTGTCGAGGAATACCCCCAAGGTGCGGCCCCGAGAGTCGTGACATGTTCGTTGCGTCGAGAGTTTGGGTGCGACCTGGTGCATCGCCCCGTTGAGAGGCCGACCTCGAATTTTGGCTCTGCCAGCCTATCCGCTGTTGGGGGCGTGTTTGCCCATCTGCTATCCCACGACAGTGGGAGTAAGAATCTATTTGGACACGCAAAACGACCAACCACAAAACGAATGGCAAGCCCATCACCTCGGATGCTCCCTCCTCTGGCGGCAGGTGATACTATTGATTGGGTGGGGGAATGCTTACAAGATCAGCTGCTGCCGTGAGCTGTGCACTCATGACAGTGATGTGCGCTGATGGGGCTGAACACGCGCAACAAGTGTCGTAAAACACAAGGCGAAACGCCGAAACAGAGGCGCGAAGGTTTTTGGGGAAAAAACTACATATTTCTTCACACCCCGTTTTTGCCCGAAAACTGTGTGATTCTGAGGTCCGAAGCACTCTTTGTGCTGCGCGCCCAGCGTTTCAATGTCATGATGTTGTGCTGCGCTACGTACTCACGTCTTCAATCGAGACGTGCCTGATGGACTTACAAGATGTATGAATTAGGCCACGTGTCTGTAGATACGCGAGCAATGGCATGGAGAAGAACAATCAGTAACGGAAGAAGTGAAAGACAATGTATGTGCGCATTGCCGCCAAAACTGTACACGGAGTGGGTATGTACGGAACGCTTTGTGAAAGACGATATGTCCTCACAAGGTCTCCGCGGGCAGATCCGCAGAGGGTGCGCGGGTGAGCGAAATAGGAACCGGGTAGATGCTGAGGGATCGCGCGCCGCGGGGGGGCCGCCACCGAGGACTCGACGCACCAATGCGGCGGGTGCGGATGGAGGCGCGGAGAGGAAACATGGCGGCTCCGACGGTGGGACAAGGTCGATGTTTTTTCTTGCCAGATCCCACGCAATCGAGACGCAAAGGGCTCCAAAACGCGGGCAAGTGGCTCCAAAACGATGCTCCCGCGCTCCGAGCGGGACGCAGCCAAGAGTGGCCGCAGGCTGGCTTAGATTGAGTCCTGGGGCAAGCACAACGGCCAAGCCGGCTGGCCTCTCTGGAGCATCATGTCGCGCGAGACGCCCAGCGTGGCACCTTTTTGGGCCCCGGGGACTCCGGAATGCTCTCGGCGAGGCGCAGCCGACGCAAGGGCGCGATAGGGCGCCCCTTGGAGAGCAACGTCGAGTCGCGGCCGATGGGAAATGCCACCCGGCCCCATGGCGGACCCTGTATATTTTTGCATTCGGCCGCATGGGTTCCGATTCGTTGTGCGACACCTCGCGCCCCAATACTATCGGCCACGCAGCTGGGACAGACGGAATACAACAAAACATCGAAACCAATTGCTTTAGCCAGCTCAACCTGCCAACCCGTCCAACCAGCCAGCCAGCCCACCCAGCCACCCAGCCAACCCGTGAGCCAACCAGCCCAGCCGCCCACCCCGTCACCCCGCCAATCCGCCGATCCCCTCCGCCTGCTCTCCGTGCCCAACCAGCTTTCCTGCCAACCCGCCCTCCCCCGCCGCCTGCCCTCCGTCACCGCCGAAAGTGGGGGGGAAGTGTTTCTTACAGCGAAAACCAGAAAACTAGCCCTCCCGGGGACCGGCGGGGCAACGGGGAGGCACCGCACGATGCAGGGCCGGAATTCGCGCCGGGGTGTGCCTGGGACGGTTTCGGGCCTCAAGTGTGACATTGTCGTTATTTTTTCAACGCCCACCGCGCCGTCTCTCTCAGCGGGAAGCTCCCATCCTTGAAAGTGTCGCCAATATGGGAGCATCAAGCAGAGCCGGGATAAACATCTCAAAGACGCCGAGGGCCAGGACGGAGATACAGACTCAGAAAGGACACGGCAATAAGAGACACCATGCGCAGCGGAAGAAACAAACATGATGATGGTGACACTGCGGTAAGGCTAGCAACAAGCGTCACGACGACGTTCCAGAGAGTGATTGTGATCAAATTGGTTTCTACCCCCGCGAGGGGCGTTACAGGGTAGGAAGTATGAATAGGGAGTGTTTTGGGGCAGGCCAGGGCGTTAACAAAATGGCCCCCCCTCGCGCCACGTAAGCCTCAGAGGGGGTGCCCTCACAAAAGGGTCAAGGAAGCTGTGGGTAAGGCCAGGCAGCGCGTGCCCACGATAATGTCTGATTCTTCTGCCACCGCCAATTCTCCCTGCAGCATCCTCCGCCCAATCCTGAGAGTATCGCTGGAAATGAAACCGGCAGGAAAAGAAGGCCCATGTGACCCTGTCACCCAGAGGGCCGGTCATGAGCACGCACGCGCAACCGCATGCGCGGTGTCCCGTTCTGAGCGGCGCGCGCGTTCGGCAAAACAACATCGCGCGCGTATGAACAAACATAGTGAGGCCACGGAAATGTGAATGAGTGCGGTCGTGAGCTTTTGCGCTCAGTTTGCTGTCCACGGTCGGGGTGCGCGGGGGCAGAGGAGGAGGAGGAGGAGGAGGAGGAGGAGGAGGAGGAGGAGACAGAGGAGGAGGAGGAGCAGGAGCAGCAGGAGCAGGACGAGACGAGGACGAGGACGAGGACGAGGACGAAGACAGAGAGGAGGAGGACGAAGAGAAGGAGGGCGACGAGGACGCGGACGAGGAGGAGGAGGGAGAGGAGGACGGGCAGGAGGGGGGGACGAGGAGAAGTAGGACGGGGAGGAGGAGGAGGAGAGAGGAGGAGGAGGAGCAGGAGGAAAAGGAGGAGGAGGACGACGAGGAAGGCGAGCAGGAGGAGGCGGAGGAGGAGAAAGAGGAGGAGGGGGAGGAGGAGCCGGAGGACGAGGAAGGGGTGGAGGAGGAGGAAGGGAATGCGAAGGAGGAGGAGGAGGACGAGGACGAGGACGAGGACGAGGACGAGAACGAAGACGAGGGCGAGCAGGAGGAGGAGGAGGAACAGGAGGAGGAGGAGGACGAGGACGAGAACGAGAAGGAGGAGGAGGAGGAAGAGGAGGAGGAGGAGGAGGAGGAGGAGGAGGAGGACGAGAACGAGGAGGAGGAGGAGGACGAGAACGAGGAGGAGGAGGAGGACGAGAACGAGGAGGAGAAGGAGGAGAAGGACCATTGTAAACCCAAGAGTCGTCAACGATGTTGGAAGAAACCCTCCATCCAAGATCCCTCCCCATAGGCCCCTAGGACGGTCCATATCCATTGAGGGAACTGCCTCGTTGGAAAGCAACCGTTTAAAGACCCTGAAGCATGCCATGATATTATTCTCGGGATTCCAACGCCACGGAACAATTTGATTGTTGCGTCCTGACCATCCTGAACCGTGCCAGAACGTCAGTATTGGGACGTCAACGCCGCGAACCCACGTAACTGTTGCACCCGAATAATCCAGAATCCTTCCGATACACCTTTTCTGGTACGCCGATCACGGGAGTCCGTGGAATTCTTGCAAAGTTGTATAAACGAATGTGCGCGGCGTTGAAGCGAGAGCCACATGTTGAAAAGGAACCGCCCCCGTGCACATGTTTAATTCGAATGTTCGCGGCGCTGAGGCGAGAACCACATTTCGAAACATATGCGCCTTCAATCCGTGAAATTCTTGCAAACGTTAAAACGAATGCGCGCGGCAGTAAGGCAATAATTATATGTTGAAAACGATCCGCCCTCCATTGGCGGAATTGTTGCCAAATATTACGCTTCAACAACATAAATGGTGAGGAAGTCTCAGGTGAAACGCACGGCCCGCCCTTAAAAAAAAGGCCTCGGGGTGCGACAGGGAACAGTTATTGATAAAACGAATGGATGATGATGATGATGATGATGATGATGATGATGACGACGACGATGATGATGACGACGATGATGATGATGATGATGATGATGATGATGATGATGATGATGATGATGATGATGATGATGATGATGATGATGATCAGGAGGAGGAGGAGGAGGAGGAGGCGGAGGCGGAGGCGGAGGTGGAGGTGGAGGGCTGAACGCCCCAGGTTCTTTCTTAAGGTTTGCCCAACTTGACAAGAGGAGGAGGGGGAGGAGGGTGAGGAGGAGGAGGAGGAGGACAAGGGCAGAGGAGGAGGTGTGAAGGGAGGAGGGACAGCAGGAACAGGAAGAGGCGAGGGGAGGCGGATGGCGGAGGCAGAGGACGGCGGAGGAGGAGCAGGAGGCGGAGGCGGAAGAGGGAAAGTATGGATGGAGAGGGGAAGTGGTGCAGGAGAAGGAGGAGGAGAGGGAGGCGGTTGAAGAGGGAAAGGGAGGAGGAGGAGGAGGAGGAGGAGGAGGAGGAGGAGGAGGAGGAGGAGGGAGAGGGAGGAGGATGAGGAGAAGGAGGGGGGCGGAGGAGGAGGAGGAGGAGGAGAAGGAGGAAAAGGAGGAAGGAGGAAGGAGGAGGAGGAGGAGGAGGGAGAAACGAGGAGGAGGGGGGGGAAGGGGATGCCCTGAGATCCAAGCGTTGCCAGATCTTCACTCCGGGCTTGTTCGCGTGGTCTCCGTTCCCAGGGACTACAGCATCGATCGCTTTCGAAACATGTCGCACGAAAACATGGGGTCTATGGCTCGGGTTGCAATTCCCCGCCATAATTTTTAGATTATATATGTGTATATATAGATATATATCTAATGTAGAATGTTTTTTTCGCAACATCAGATACCAGGGGGGGGGGGTAGGGAGGGAGGAGGGGAGGGAGGGAGAAGGTGGGAATCGTGGCAAAACCGCCGAAGCGGCAGGAACATGCGGAGCAACACACCGCAGGAAAAACACGAGTTTCCACGGCAGCTCGTTTCACACGGCGACGGCGCGAGGCATCGTTGACGCTGGCCAGAGGGGAGGGGGGAGAGGGCGGATCGATGGGGGAGGGACGGGTAGGGAGGAGGGGCGAGGTGGCGAAGGGGGGGGAGGAGGAACAGGAGTTGATGGGAGGAGGAACCAGAGATGATGAGTTGGGTTGGTATGATGAGTTGGGCTGGTGTGGAGAATGGGGAGGGCGCTGGCGATGACGCGGAGGAGGAGGAGCAGCAGAAGGGAAAGGATGAGGACAACATCGGCGAGGAGGCGGAGGAGGAGGAGTTGGTGGAAGGGGGATTGTTCGAGCTGCCAAGGTGCTGTGGTATGTCTCCCAGCTTTCGCGCTCAGGCCTGCGACAAGCTCAAGAACTTGCACAGCAGAGGCACGGAGCAGCACGGGGGCGCCTGGCCCGTCGCTTCTCCCCCTGCTCCGTCGCCCTTCGTGTTCCTCCCCTTCCCCTCCCTCCTTTCTCCTTCCTCCTCGTTCTCTCCTCCTCCTCCTCCTCCTCCTCCTCCTCCTCCTTCTCCTCCTCCTCCTCCTCCTCCTCCATCTGTCTTTCGCGTTGCATCATCATCTCGGTCCCATCTTTGCATCACTATGGAGCTTGTGTTCGACAAGAGATTGGACCTCGCTGTTCCTAGCCATGCTGATGTGGTCATGACGTGGCTGGTTTCTCGCTGGAATGGGCTCTGCCAGCGGCACTTTTTGGACGAGGCCCCGACTTGGGCTATGTCTAACGTCTCCTTGGAGACTTAGTGGGACGACCTTGGAGGCCCCGCATCTGCCCCTGTCGCCACGCTGCTGCGCCTGGCGGGCGCTCCTCCTCGGCGTCCGTGTATTGGTAACCCTGCTGGTCATGACGTTGACGTGGAGCGCACCTCCCCTCAGATGTGTTGCTGTTGTTATATCTGGGTATGCAGACGTATAGGCTTGGTGCCAGACTGTACCCTATCATCCTTTCCATGCTCACTTGGACGGCCCCCCGCACCTTCCACTGAGGAAGCTTGTGGGGCGCTTGGGCCAGCCTGAGAGCATTTGCCTGCGCGCAGTGTTGATCGGGTCGTTCCACCTGCCTTTGGGACACTTATTGTGTGGGCATGTGTCTTCTGATGCGACATCGGCTCCAGTTGATCTGAAGTTGTCCAGTCTTGCGGAATTATCGGCGCACATATGGATTGCCGCCACACGTGGATCGAGTTCGAGTGAGGTTCCCGGCGGATCCATTGTGGCACTCAGCCATGGTGGTTGACGTTGAGCGTTTTCTCCCACACCCCCTGCTGCACTTCGAGCTCCAATGTGATTTCCATGATGGTCCCGATCAGCAATTGTTACATCTCAGGAGGGCACAACATAACAGACACAATTATTCGTCAATCCCAAGGAAAATATGCGAAAATATAGGAAGTGGGGGGAATACGATAATCCCAAACATATGGGGAATCCTGATATTTGTATGTATTTATTTGTGTGTCCCAGGGCCCCTTCAACATCGTCCCTGTTTGGTGATGGCTCTCTGGCCTCTGTGGGCCGTCCCCGCGCGCCCGTCGCTGTGGCTTCTCGAACGTACCCGTGACACTTCGTGGATCTGCTCAAGCGGCCGTTTACGGAGCCTACCCTGGAATACATCCGAGTATTTGTTCTTCGGCCAGGCTCTCTCGCGATCTTGTTTGTCCTGTTTCAGATTGTACATGACCAGCATGGGCGTTACGAGTATTACAGTGATTGCCAATGGGTGATAGATACATGGTTGACCCATGAGGTCCGATCTACTTCTGGGTGGCCCCCCACGCCGGGGTTTAGAGGCAAATCCGTACAACAGTTCGCCAGATCGGCTATAATGCAATTGGTGTGCGCAAGGTATCGGCCCATCTTGATGTCATGTCGCCGGCCCAGGCGGCATTGAAGGCTACAGGTAATATGCATGCTGATGAGTACGCTCGCCGTGGGGCACGGATGCATCCCGTAGATGCGTTGACATTGAGCGTTTGACCCGTTCCGTGTAGTAGTTGAGCATATGGAAATGTGTGTGGCTCACATGGCCGCCCGGGCCTTGCAGAAATTTGAGGGTATCCCCCGCCCTGCCCCCCCTTCTCCCTCCTGACTCCTCTCTGTCCTTTGTATTCCCTCCTCGAGTTGCACCTCATGAGCTCGTCTGGGACCAAACACGTGGCGTGCTGGTCGTCCAGTCGCCACACACGTGTCTTGGCGAACGCCTCTTGCAAAGCCCCTCATGGTACGGGGCATGTGGCTTCCAAGACGGGTACGGACATATTATGTAAATTATGCGTGTGTGGTTCGTACTCGTCCACACATGTAGCACACTTGGCGGTCCGTTGCAAACAAAGGACGGCCTCTGCCACAGGCCGTGGTCGTCTCGGGCGCCTGCCTGGCGGACTTGACCCGAAGCGAAAGGCCTCAGATGGCCCGGCTGTTCCCGTCACCCTCAGGATGTACAGAGCATTTGGGGATGCCACCGCAGTGGACCCCAGCTTAGCCTCTGTCCCACACCCTCTAGTGCGCGCGGCGCATGGCCGTCCCCGTTGAGATGGATGACGATTGTTACCGGGGGGTGGACAGACCTCCTACCCTGACACGTCGATTAAGGAATTGGCCGTTTCCGGTTCGCGAAAGGGCGTCGCGGCCGTAGTTTTTGCGGGTCCAGGTCCGTCGGTTTCGGTCCCAGGCCTTTTTCATTAAGGGGAGGTTTACCAAGTGTAGTTTGTCCACCGCCGAGTTATGATGAGTATGTTGACTTTGTCGTGTTGATTTCTAGACCTCCTAGATGGGGTCGGAGTAGATGGGGTCGCGCCGCATCGCCGATGCATCGGCGATGCGGTTCGATGTGGGACCCAATTTTCTCCACGCCGGCGTCGCCGATGCATCGCCTACGTCGCCAATGCATGGCCGATGCATCGGCGATGCATCGCCGATGTATCGGCGATGCGGCGGGATCTTCCCACCCCATGTACTCCGACCCCATCTAGGAGGGCTCTGGGATAATGTCGTCAAGTCCATGCTAGCGGCGGGGAAGCGGGCCACACGTTGTTGCTGCATGCTGGGCATTGCCAGTGTGTTTCACGCTCGGGCGCATTCGCCCGCAATGCTTGCCCTTCTTCCGAACCTGTTGCATGCACTGTTTATTTCACCCCTTCTGTTCTCGGTCTTGCCCCTTTGGAGGCAGGCCCATAGATGCGCCATGCTCCTCTTCCTCCTCGTCCCCCCTCCGCCACAAAACATACACAGACACCCAATAATGGATTGTGTCTGGGCCTCAGGGAAGGCGGGGTTTAAATCACCGCTGAGAGCCAGCGACTTTCTACATTGCTGCCCTCCCTGAACGTACATGCAAAGTTCGTCGGAGGGCGTCTGTGTATGTATGTTCGTGGTGTCCTCCCTCCCGCATCCCTTCCGTCTTCTAGCATCCCTCTCCTCCCCTCGTCCCTCTTCCTTCCTTCTTCCCATCCTGGCGACGTCTCCCCCCCCCCCTCGCGTGGCCTTGGTGCTCGAGATCCACCTGCACCGATCGGCGTGCCCCCTCCTCCAGGGCTTGCAAGGGGGGCAGAAGCCTGCGGTTTGAGCAACCCCCTTTGCCGTGTTTCATTGAGTACTTCCGCTGTTGACTCGAAAGTGAAGCCTGCAATCGGTGAAGCGCCCAATTCGCGCTTCACGGATCGTCGGTTCTAATGATACCACTACTACTACTACTACTACTACTACTACTACTACTACTACTACTACTACTACTACTACTACTACTACTACTACTACTACTACTACTACTACTACTACTACTACTTACTACTACTACTACTACTACTACTACTACTACCACTACTACTACTACTACTACGACTACTACTACTACTACTACTACTACTACTACTACTACGACTGCAACTACTAACTCATGTCTGCTTTTACGTATGGGTATACTTATGATTATACTAGTGCGCCCACTATGACCATCACTACTTCTATTGATGTCAGAACGCTACTACTACTACTACTACTACTACTACTACTACTACTACTACTACTACTTCTACTACTACAAATACTACCATTACTACTACTACTACTACTACTACTACTACTCCTACTACTACTACTACTACCACTACTACGACTACTACTACTACTCCTACGACTACTACTACTGATACTACTACTACTGCTGCTACTACGACCTACTACTACTACTACTACTACTACTACTACTACTACTACTACTACTACTACTACTACTACTACTACTACTACTACCATTGTGACTACTGCTTTACATCTGATGTTGCTACCACTACTTCGACTACTGCTGGTATTCCTACAACAGCTACTCATATTGATACTAATGGCACTGCTGCTGCTTCGGCTGCTTCTACAAAACATAACCACCCCTCCTCTTCCCCCTCCGCAGTCTGATCAAAGCCACCCTCCTCCTTTTCCTCCTCCTCCTCATCATTGCCCCCCCTCCTTATCCCCCACGTCCTCCTCCTCCTCCTCCTCCTCCTCCTCCATATCCTGATCCGCATCATCTGCCCTCCTTCCCCATCTACTGGATCCTCGCGGATAAGGGGGGGATAAGGAGGGGGCGGAGGAGGAGGGGGAGGAGGGGGAGGAGGAGGCAATAGGAGGAGGATGAGGAACAGAAAGTGGAGGAAGAGAAGGAGTCAAAGGATGAGGCGAGGGCGGGAATGATATAAAAAAAGAGATAGAGGATGAGGAACAGGAGGAGGAGGAAGATGAAGAGGAGGCTGAAGATGAGGAGATGAGGAGGAAAAGGAGAAGGGAGGAGGAGAGGAGGAGGAGGAGGAAGAGGAGGAGGAGGAGGGGGAAGGAGGGGAAGGAGGACGAGGAGCTGAGGAGGAGAAGGAGGTCGACGCGATCATATCGGGTTCGAGTCTTCGAGTCGTCGAGGCGAACCGTCTTGCCGACGCCGCCGTCGTCGCCGTCGCTCCGTCGCTGCAATCGTCGGGTCGACGCCGTCGTCGTCGACGCCGGGCGGGCGCGGCTTTCCGCCGCCGTACGCGGCCAGCCGCGCACTCCGTGCTCCGGCGGCTCCAGCGCTCCCCCGCAGCGCCGGGCGCCAAGGCCGCCTGGGCGGGAGGGGCGCGCGGCCACGGGGAGGATGGGGGCATCCTCTCCATCGGCAGGGAGGGGGCAGAGAGGAGGAGCGAGGAGAGAAAAGGAAAGAGAGCGAGGGACACGAGGAGGAAGGGAGAGGGACAGAGGATGAGGAGGAGCCAGATGGGCAGAGGAGGTGAGGAGTGAGGAGGTGGCCCCATGACAAGGACTGCCTCCTCCTCAGGGCTCCTCCTCCTCCTCCTCCTCTATCTCCTCCTCCTCCTCCTCCTCCTCCTCCTCCCCCCCCTCCCCTCCTGACCCCTCCCCTCTTCCGCCCTACTCCCCTCCTCCTCATTCTCCTTCTGCTTCTCCATTTCCTGCTTCGCCTCCTTCTCCTCGCATCAATCACCCATGCTCATCGCCTCTCTCCATTCCTCCCAGTTGCTTCTCATCTCAAGGCCAGCATCAAGTCAGCGGTGCATTTTTCTCGCGTCCAGTGCGGGACAGTCTGCCTGCCCCAGCATGTCGAAGCCCTTGCGGCCTTGCGGGCGGCGGCAGCGGGCCTGTGCCCCTGCGGCCTCGCGAGCGGAGGCAGCGGGCATGGCGCCCCAGCGGGCGCTGAATTCATTCACGGGCACAGCACGGCACAGCACGAGTGGGCTCGTCCTCTGCGTTCGTCGCGAGTCGTCCTCCTCCTCCTCCTCTTCGTCCTGATCCTCCCTGACCCTGACCCAGCCTGTCCCCCTTGCAGTGTTGTGGCGTTTCGTTGGGCTGTGGCTTCCATGGCTTGTGCTGCGTGTGCTGCCGTCGTCGTCGCCACAAGCGCTGTGCCGAGAGTCTGAAAACAGGCGGCGGCAACACGGCGCATCGCCCCGGCGCGAGACGGGCTGGCGCGGCCTAAACAGAAGCGGAAGTCGGAGAAGTCGGATACTCCTCTCTCCGCTCCCCCCTCTTCCTCCTCCTCCTCCTCCTCCTCCTCCTCCTCCTCTCCTCCCCCTCCTCCTCCGCCCCCCCTTCGCCTCCTCCTCCTCCTCCCTCCTCCTCCTCCTCCTGAGCCTCATTCCCATCGCTGTCGCCCTCCCCCCCCCTGCGTGCGCCCTCGAGTGCGAGAGGGGGAAAGATGTGAGAAGAGGGAGGAGGGGGAGGAGGGGCCAACGCCGCGCCCCCTACTATATACACCATCTCTGCGTCAAGGACGCGCGCGGCACACCTGACACCCAGCGATGGCCCATCGTTCGATGGCGCGCGCGCGGCCTGGACAACACAAACACAAAACTAAACGGCATGCCAGCGGCGCCGCAGCGCCTACTCCAAAAGATGTTTGGTCTTCGCCTTCAAGACCTTGTCTTCCTTCGACGCGGCCGCGGGGGCCGCCTCCTGCGCCCCCTCCGCCGCGGGCACGCTACCCGCGGATTTCATCATGTACTCCGCAGCGGCACTGGGACCCAGCAAGGAACCCAACTCGCAGGGGGGTGCGTTGGAGCCGCGAGCGCGCTTCACCCTGGGCTGAACCTCGCCCGCGATGTCATCGCGAACGAGCGCCGCGCCGTCACACTGGAGCTTGCGGTACTCCCCACGGTCAGCCATGGCGACATCGGCGTCCTGGGCTGCGGAAACGTTCAAGGGGACGACGGTGTGCACCTCGAGCGAGCATGTAATGCAAAACAACCCCGCCCCACTCCTCACTCCCCTGCCCCCGCCGCCCCCCCTCCGCGAGCTAAGGAAAATGCGCGGGGGGGAGACGGCGTCGCGGCGTAGACGACGAAGAGTGGGAAGGGGGGAGGGGGAGATGGAGGGACATAACGAAGAGAAGGACGAGAGGGGGAGTATGACGGGGAACCGCGCCGACCAGGGCGCAGCAAAGGGCAAAGTGGCGCCATGCATTTGACCCCTGGAGGCCCTGGAGGGCCTGGAGGGCTGGAGGGCCCCCTGGAGGGCCGAGGAGGGCCGCGCAGTCTTCGAGCCAATGGCCGGGGCCGAAGACAGCTGCTTCGGAATGCGAGAGGGGAGGGGTTAGAAAGAAGCAGACGAGGGCGAAGATGCCACAGATGGCGAGGGAAAGAGCGAGAGAGTGGGACGGCGGGAGAGAGTGAGAGAGAGAGAGAGAGAGAGAGAGAGAGAGAGAGAGAGAGAGAGAGAGAGAGAGAGAGAGAGAGAGAGAGAGAGAGAGAGAGAGAGAGAGAGAGAGAGAGAGAGAGAGAGAGAGAGAGAGAGAGAGAAGAGAGAAAAAAAAAAAAAAAAAAAAAAAAAAAAAAAAAAAAAAAAAAAAAAAAAAAAAAAAAAAAAAAAAAAAAGAGAGAGAGAGAGAGAGAGAGAGAGAGAGAGAGAGAGAGAGAGAGAGAGAGAGAGAGAGAGAGAGAGAGAGAGAGAGAAAAAAAAAAAAAGGTAAGGAGGTAAGGACAACGAGGGGCAAGGGAAAGTGCAGTTACGAGGGGGAGGGGGATGGAGGGATGGAGGGGGGATCGAGGAGAGGGAGGGCGAGGCGGAGGAGGGGGGAGGGGGGGGAGGAGGAGAGGATGAGAGGAGGATGAGGAGGGAGTGGTGATGAGTGGTGATGTCATGATGCGATGCTGAGATGAGTTCTGCACAAGTGCACAAGGGCACCTGCATCTTGAACGCGTCCGACATCCCCTCGACAGTCAAGTCCGGCGGGAGCGTCATCTCGCGCAAGACCTTCTGGCCTTTCACGTTCACCGTGAGCTCCGTGGCCTTCTTGTCGAGGAGCCGCACCATCCACGCAGGGGCCGCGAGCTCGCTGGTCACGCTGGACACCTTGTCGCTGTTAATCCACACCGCGACTGCGATGTCGTCCTTCTCGTCCTCCGCTGGGAACTTGAGGTAGCACACTGGGAGCGACCTCGATCCACGCTCGAAGCTGAGCGGGCCAGCGAACGTGAGTCTCAGCTCCGGCGACCACTTCTTGACGCGCAGCACGGGCTTGTTGGCGTCGCCCTTCTTCTTGTCGGACCCCGCCGCCGCAGCAGCGGCGCGCTCCGCCGTCCAGTCAACCTCGATGTTGGCGAAATGCTCTGACTCCTCGGTGTACGCTATCCCGTACAGCTGGCGCTCCAGGAACAGGAGGAATAGCTTCAACCATCGGCAGCACGGCATCCTACCACGAGGGAACGTGATGGTGGCGGCTGCGGCGTCAGCATCATATTTGTTCATGTTCGCAGTTGTCAGCTGGTTCAGCACGTCGGACCCCGCCGCGAGAAGCATGCCCGATTCGTCCACAAAACTAGCGGGCACGTTTGTCACATCACTGAGCCCCCATCCCTGACCCCTGACCCCTGGCCCCTTGACCCCAGACCTCATCAGACCCCATCTGGCAGATCTGGCCCCCATCTCCCAGACCCATTTCCCAATATCCCCCCCGCGGGCCCCACGGGGCCCATGCCCCCTCCCCCCACCCCCCGAACAAGGGGGGCGGGAGGGGGTGATGGGGGGAGGGAATGATGAGCACTGGTTGACATCTGGACCTGGAACGGAGCTCAGGGTCAGGGGGAAGAGGTCAAGGAAAGGAGGTGGGAAATGACAAACGCACGTGTCCTGAAGAGATTGGGCAGCGGCATGCGAGCGGACTCGACCATCACGACGAGCGGGTCGGGGTTGATGGTTGCGGCTCCTCCGTGAACGACGAGGTGTTGCGACGACGAGCTGCCGCTGCTCTGGGCCCCTGGATTCTCGGTCTGCTTTTCAGGCTCAATCTTAGGATCGAGGTCGACGCCGAGCTTGGCCGCGGCATCGACGAGGCTGGCCTTCGCACCCTGTGATGCAGTGATGCTCTTCTTGGTCTTGATGGCGTTGCAGAGGTCGGCGACACTCTGCGAAAGCAGCCTGCCCAGCAGCCCATACGATGGCACGTTGGCGCACTTGTACTCGCCCAGCGCAGCGGTCACGCTGGTGATGCATTCGTTCAGCTCCGCGTTCGAGACGACGCAAAAGACGTCGGCGAACCCCTGCTTGATGTACTGCACCCTCATGCCGCAGAAGTTTGTCGCATCCATGCTCGTGGGGAGGCCGCCCTGGCAGCAGCTGGGCACCTGCGAGGTCTTCCGCATGTACTGCGATATAAGTAAGGCCAGCGTGCCGAACTCGTCGGAAAAGACCTTGGTAACGTGCTTGAGGACGACGTCCACGACTCGGTCAATCAAGCGATTGAGTTCGAACTGGTCACCCGAAATGGCATCTGCCATATCCTCTGGCAATGGGATCTGCCCCGCCTCCTCCACCATCTGGTCGACGACAGCCTTGTAACCGCGATGCATGCGAGCTGGCAGCTTCAGCGAGGTCCCTTTCACGAACTCACGCACGAGATCACCCTGGCTAGCCCACAAGCGGTTGATCTGGGCCACTAGCTGGTCGTTCGATGTTCCGGGCTGGAGCGCGACAGCAAGACCGTCGATGTCGTCGATGTCCTCATCGCCGCCGATCAAACAGTCGACTAGGAGGTCGGCAACAGATTTGGCCCCGTCGATTGACGTCAGGGATGCGGCCATCGTCTCAGTCGTCTGCGTCGCAAGCGTCCTGAGCTTTGCGCGCAAGTCCGACCACTTGGTGAAGCTGTGCTGACCGAGCGCCAAATGACCTTGCCAGCAGAATTCAAATGCCAACAACGCAAAACTTCCGACGATATCGATCTTCTCAGAATCGCTGATTTTGTCGGCACCCTTGGCCAGAAATACCGCCGTCTTCAGCCCCGTCAGACAGTCTGTGATCCAGTAGATGTGCTTGCTCTGATCGGACCAATCCTCAGCGGGGGTCTGGATGACGACGACCTTCTTGTTGGATCCCCGAGTCTTCTTCTTTGCTGGCTCGGCAGGCGTGGCGGTAGTCCCTGCGCTGTCCTGATCCTGCTCCCTCTTGGCGATGATCTGCTCCCACTTCTTCAATCCCTTTCTCTTCGTCACGGAAGTGTCCATCTTTGTCATCAGCATCCTGACCACATCCAGATTCTGCTTCTCGAACAGGAACGGGATCACTCGCTGGCGGGACGGCGTAGCGTTGTCGTCGTCGTCAGCTTCGTCAGCTGCAGATACAAAGGGCAAGAAGAAGTAGAGCGCTTTCATGAAGACGTGCTTCAGGATGGGGCCATCGATCACGGACTTCACCTCGTCGTGGAACACCTGAACGGACAGCATGTGAATGTTGAAACTTGCGTTCGTGTTATTCATGCGGGGGTCGATGAAAACACACTTCTCTCCAATAAGTGACATCGTCATGTCATGAATCTCGAAGCGCTCTAACTTCCTGAGGAGCGCCAACCCAGCCTCTGGGGGGAGGACACCACTACTTCACTAAAGGTCGGTTCTCTTGGCCCTCCTCCTCACCCCCCCTCCCCTTCCCCATCGCCCCCTGGGAAACTCGAAGGAGGGGGGGGGGGGGGGGTCGGGGAGACGCCGAGAGAGCTGACCTGGACTGCGTTGATGTCCCCCCCCCCCAGCCTTGCACTCGTTTTCGCTCTTGAACCTGCGCTCGGCTTCCTTCTTGAACCTGGCGCAATACCAATCCCAGAAACTCATGACTGCGCCGCCCGTCTTGCCGCACGCCTGGTACTCGGCGCTCATGTCGTTCAGATGCTCCCAATATTGTAGCAATGTAAAACGGCTGCCGTTATGAAATTCGTTGTGCCAATCCCTGAGCCACCTGATGACGTCCTTAGGCGTGCGGGAGTCGAACAGGGTAGCGTTCCTCAAGCCTCTCGTGAGGCTAACCTGCACCATCCTATTCTCGGGCCACTTCTTGGCGGCCTTGTAGACAGCGCGGCTCAGCGTCCCGTAGGTCACCATGAGGGCCGGCATGCCGCTGGCAGTGTCCGACTGGATGCCCCACGGCTCGCCGCGCACGCCCGGGATGACCCCGTAGTCACGCACAAGCCTTGCGTAGTGATTCACGATGGCCTCCTGTTTGCGAACGTTCTCGGGGTGAGGCACGATGGTCTGCGCGCCGTCGTCATCAAAGAACTGCAATGTGACGTTGCGCCGCACCGAGTAGTCGTCGAAGACGGCTTCTTGGAGCAGAATCCCCTGCAGCCCAGGATATCGAACGTCCACCGAGGCCTTTTCTATCCACATCTCGCCCCCCGTGGCGTTCGCGGAGGGCTCTGGCTTGGGAGTGGCCGGAGGCATGGTGAGCGCGCGGCACAGGCGCAGGGAGTGTCTCGGCGCTGCTCGCTGGCTTTGGCTCTCGGCCAAGAAAGCCAAAAATGGCTTCGGCGGGGCGAGGGCGTAACAGGGGGGAGGAGGGGATGGGATGGGATCGGCCATGGAATCCTACAAAGCTGTGCGGCATGGGTCCCCGGCGCCCCGGGGCCCCGGGTTATCTTGTCGCGAAACTTGGCGCTGACATCCTGGGTGCCTGGGGGGGGGGGGCAGGGCCCCAGGGCCCCAGGGCCTCGAGATTCCGCTCCCGCGGCTCAAAAGAGAGATTGAGCAAAAGGAGATAGAGGGGGAGAGAACGCGAGAGACGGGGGGGGGTGGAGAAAGGGAGCGAGAGAGAGAGAGAGGAAAAGAGAGAGAGAGAGAGAGAGAGAGAAAAAAAAAAAAAAAGAGCGAGATATAGATATCAATATAGGAACGCAGAGAGAGGAAACAGAAAGAGAGACAGCGAGCGAGAGAGAGAGAGGGGGGGTAAAAAAGAGAGGAAGATGAGAGAGGGTAGGAGGGAGTAGGAGGGAGGGGGGGAGGGGGGGGGGAGACAGAGAGAGGGAAAGGAAGAGAGAGGAGAGGAGCAGGAGAGGAGGTCGGTGAACTAGACGGGGCGGCAGGAGCGGCAAGGCGACGAGTCATCATTGGGAGGGGTGATTAGGCAGGCAGGATGCAATTGCGGGGAGGGGGGCAGCTCGAGAGCAACCAGGCCACCTGGGACCCTGGGACCGCAGACATTGCGCCGCCCACCCCCCAAGAGTGGCCCCAAAAGGACCTGGTCGGGCCCATGGCATTGCTTCGTCTGGTCGCAGGGATTTCAAGTCCTGCATCCGTGCACAATCCCTCCTGGCTGGCCGCCCCCCACCCCTTGCCCCGCAGTCCGACTTGGCCTATCGGTTACCTTGCCATCCCTTCCCTGGCTTGTCTCCGCCCCCCTCCCCTCCCGCACATCCCCCCAGGGCTTGCGGCGGTGCGCGGCGGCGCGGCGCCGCGGTGCAGCGGCCTGCTCCAGGCGCAGCTGCTGCGGCTGGCCCCAGGCGATCCGCCGCGGCCGCGACCGCCGCCGCGCTGCCTCTGCGCGCGAGCGCGGCGGGATAGGAGGACGAGGAGGACGAGGACGAGAGTGACACAAAGTAGAAGTGACGATGCTGACGAGAATGACAAATGGCGAGTGACGAGGTGCTGGAGGCAGGGTAGTAGTAGTAGTAGTAGTAGTAGTAGTAGTAGTAGTAGTAACTACTGTAGCAGTAGTAGTAGCAAGGGCAGTAGGGGTCGCCTCCTACTCCTCCTCATACCTCTCATCATCCTCATGCCCGTCAACTTCAACCATCTTCCATCACATCCTCCCCCGCCCTCCCTCCCCAGTGAGGATTGCGGCAGACGACGATGGCAAGCTAGGATAGGTTAAGTCACAGCTGGGATGAGAGCGGGAAGAGATGAGGAGGGCGAAGGCAAGAGCGGAGGTGGTGGTTGATTGCAGCGGTGACGACGAACATGCATGTGAGAGGATGAGAGCGTGAGATGCAGATACTGGGATGTCGGCTTCATGATGCCCCGGCGCGCAAGGAACCACCGCCAGGCGCGTCGAGTGGAGCGAGACGGATCTGAAGGCCGTCCCGCCGCAGAATATCACCATTCGAATTAGATGTCATGATGACTCGCGCACGTGTGCATTCCCTCACCGTCCCTCACCCTCATTCCCTGCGTCCCATCATGCCACCATGTTGTGCCTCTAGGCCCTAGGCCCCAGGCCCCTAGGTCTTCGGCAGCAAGGCTCCAGCCCCAGCGACAGCACGGATCGAATGCGCACGCGTGCCGCGCTCACATTCTGGGCTGGGATTGCTAACTACCTAGGGCAAGACTGGCAGGATCAAATTCTCAAACACCTCGCAAACTTGCATGCCCGACTGCTCGCGCGGGCCATCCCCCAACGTCGCGTCGAGCGACATGCTGCTGCGCGGCTACGCTGTTGCTATCGGTTGTTCGCACTCCATGCGTGAACACCTCTTCTTCCTCATCCTCATTATTGTCTATATCCCCCCCTATCTTGTCCTCCTCAGCTCCTCAGCCTCGGCCCCCCCTCATCATCTGTCATCCTCCTTCTCATCCTCCCCCTAGCCACCTATGCAGCGCGAGGACGGCCAGGAATGCCAGGAATTCTGTCCTGGTCGGCTCGCTGCGCGCGCGTGAGCGCCCAGAGCCAGTGCACGCCAGCGACGTGCACGTTCATTGTGTTCCCCGCCTGCTCGATCAAGGAAGCACGGCGCCGCGCATTCCCTGGACCGACCCGAGGTTTGACGAAAGAGCAACACGGGTGGTCCATGGCGGCGGCCTGGTCATCGCGCCCAGCGGTGGGGTCAAACGCGCGTGGGTTCGAAAGCCTGGGCTGCATCGGGAACCCCTGGGCCAAAAACATCTCCGTTGGAGTGAGCCACCTGTTGAATTCGGGCGAATCATAGAAGTTGATGCTGGACGGGTTGCTGATGAGAGTGTGCAGCATGTTTGGCGTCGAAGATTGCCCGCCGAAGCCATCCCCAGGGTTCTGCGTGAGGTTGTGAACGCAGTTGCGTGGTTGCGTCCTGCGGTGCTGTCGCAGGGTGCCCTGCTCGAAAGTGTTGAGGCTCTTCTCGAATGCGAGGGGGTCAGTCTTGATGTGATCGAGCGTTGCCGCTTGGCCGTAGCTCGCGCTCCCCTTGCGGCTACGAGCCCATGCGACTTCGCTCAACAGCTCGCCCTCGTCTGCTGTCATGAAGATATCCATCCTGCACCGCAGCACGCGATGGAAGAGCGGCACCTATGATGCACGCGCGGCGTCTGGTCTTTGAACGATGACGAGTCATCGCAGAGCAGGGGCGCAGAGAGCGCAGCCACAATGGCGGCGGCGGCTGCAGGGCTGCAAAGGCCAACCGCGACGCCACCCCCCACGCCCTTGCGCTGCTATGAGCTCGCCATCATGGAGATTAAGACGCCTTGCGCGACTGCCCTGGCACAGTGTTCGCGACGGTGCTGACCACCTTGGACGGGCATGGTATTTGACCACTCAGTCATGCCTCTCATCATCCACCTCCTCCCTCCTCCGCCTCTCTCATCTCTCTCCTCCTCCTCCCCCTCCTCCTCCCCCTCCTCCTCCTTGCGGAAAGACACCCGCGACCCTGGCAACAGCTTGACCCAGGATGTTGGGGGGTGGGGTGCCCGTGGCCGGGGGGGGGGGCTCGGTGACTCACTGTTGCTTGCCCACGTCTGTCTTCATCACCGTCCGTCGTCGACCCCGTCACATGCCTCCACCTCTCCTCATCATTCATCCTCTTCCTCTTCATCCTCTTCCTCTCCTCCTCTTCCCCCTCCTCCTCCTCCTCCTCCTCCTCCTCCTCCTCTTCATCCTCCTCCTCCTCCTCCTGCTCCTCCTCCTCCTCCCACTAGCCGTGCTTGGCCCATCGACACCTGCATGACGTGGACGCGGTGCACGAGCACAGTCCATCGCCGACTGCGACGGCACGGCCACCCCAGCTGGTTCGGGGTGATGATGTTGGATTCGACGAAGTAGACGTGACCGAGGAATTCCCGCAGCACCTCCACGTCGAAGCGCTCCGCGTTCTCGTGGATCACAATGGGCTCCTGGAGGAGGAGCCGCATCGCCAGCCATGCGGCCAGCGCGCGGCTGGTCCTGCCAGCGTCCTTCAGCAGCGTGCCGATGGGCGACCAGTCGACGCATGGCGTCCCAGCGAAGTGCATGCGAGCGACGGGGTGGGCGCATCGCTGCTTGAGCAGCCTGCAGAGCGCATGCCGCTTGACAGAGCGGCCAGTCAGGACGAGCTTGTGCATGGAGGACAGCGTGATAGCTGCGCCGATGTTGGCCAGGCGGTCCAACTCGATGCTCACGTTGTCAACCCAGAACTCCTCGATGTCGTTGAACATGTGCTTCGGCGCATGCGGGTGCACTTTGAGCTCTTCGTTGGACTGGTGGGAGTTCTCACACGAGGCCAGGTGCACCATTGGCTGCACTTGCTCTCCGAGCCGATGAGAGAGCGCGCGCCCGATCATGGCGGCGGCCACGCCGGGTGCATCCACTCCTGAGAAGGCAGTGCTGAATGTTGTGCTCTCGTAGGCCTGCTTCAGCTCGCGCAGCACTGCCTCGCCCATGCAACGCTGCAGCGCCGAAAGGGAATCGTCGGCCCAGCTGAAGACGTCCTGGAGGGAGCGAGTCACTGGGCACCCATGACCTCGAGGCTTCAGGCGACGGGCAAGATCGGTCGGCGAGTTCGCGTGGCGAGGTGATGGCTGCACGCCCTGGCCGTCTGACTTCGCAGCCGCGGAGGACGAGGTATCTGGCAGGGCACTGTCAGTGACGATATCGCTGACACCGCTGTGACCGCAGTGCGGGCCTGGCGCTGCAGCGCGCGCGGGAGGCGACTGCGGCGATGGCGATCGCCGGCCAGGCGGCGATAGCATCAGTCCAGGAGGCGTGCGAGGTTCACCAGACTCGTCAGCAGCATCGCCCAATATCCTGGCTCCCGTAGCATGTGACCTCGCCAACATCCGCGCCCGACCCAGCATCGTACCCATGAACAGCGGCGACGCGCGCGGCGACCGCACTGGCGTCGGCAGCAACGCGCGATGCCCAGGGGATGCATGTGCAGCATCGGTAGCGGCAGGGGCCGCAGGCTGCGCCGGCGGTGTAGATGGACAGGCTGGCGGCATGTCCGCTCGCGCCTGCGCTGGCATGGATGGCGGCGTCGGTGGCGCGGGGCACTGGGGCGGCAACCTAGCATCGAACTCATCAAGCGGCGCCGCGCCAGGGTGCTGTGGCGGCGCTGTGTCTGACAAGCTGGCCTGACCGCATGCGCTTGTCGCTTGCGCTGTGGGCTCGATGGGCGTCTGCGCCAAGACAATAGGTGACGCGACGCGCGCAGTGGGCGCGGCCGACGCACTGGCGGTCTCAGTCGGACCGACTAGCGCTGCGACTGGCGGTGCGGACGCAGGGG